CCTAAATGCCTACAAACAGCAGCGCACTCCTGTTGCAGAGTGACTGCTATTAACGAACGCACCCACAAACTGTTACCAGTTGATGATGCTCATGCTGAGATCTTCATATAGAATGAATAATCCTCTGATAAAATATTTACTTAAATAATAAATAAGTATTTTACCCATAAAAAAAATGAATAATAAATCCAATTTAAAGAAGGATTTAACAGCATGTTTTTTAATTTTTGGAACCTAACCCCCTTTTCACACTAGTTCTTTGTTTTGTATAACGCAGATTTGCATAACACGGCAATTTTTTGGAACGTAACTCCCGTATTATATGGGGGTTAACTGTATGTTGTTAAATTATATTGATTTACATGTCATCAATAAAATTTAGAGTGCATAGATATGTGGTAATATATACTATGTGAACTATGATGTAAAACTTGTTTAAACGTTTACTTTTTCTAATATAAAATAAAATAATTGCTTTCTTCCAACAGTTTAAATTAAACAATGACTTTGAATTTAATAAATTGTTTAATTTAGACTCCTGAAACAAAGCCTGTTGTCTCTTATTTTCCTTGAGATATAGAGGATGTAGACTGATAGAATATTAAATAATTGAAAAGAGAGATAATTTTGAATATAAAAAATGATAAATTTTTAATATCTTATCATTTAGTAAACAAAGTTTTTGTATAAATAAAACATTTTTCTATATCTTAACTCTCATATATATTGAAATTAATAAAATAAATTTTCTTTATAAAGGTAAAACAAAAACCCTTATGTTTTTTGATGGATGTGCAGCAAATTTAGGATGCACCATATTATTAAGAGGTGGTTCAGTTGCAGAATTGAAGAAAGTAAGAATTTAATCATTTATTAATTTAATTAATTTGGTTATCCATTTCAATCAGTATTTTATCTCAATTTTAAATAAATTTATAATAAAATATTAATGATTAAAAACCATTTTATTATAATGAAACACAAAGAATAACAAGACTTATTTTATTTATTTTCAACATTAATGAAATAAAAATCATTTGCAAAATTGAACAAATTGAGTATTTTTTTATAATTGATTAATGTTTATATGTAAAGAATTAGTTTTTTAGTAGGGATTAAATATATTCCAGGCTTGTCTTCAAAATTTCCAAAATTTTGCAAAATTGAATAAATAGATTATGCTTATACACAAATTAAATATTTTCATTTTTTAGAATTTTCTGAATGATTATAAGTAATGAGAGGAACTGTGTGCAATGCCTTCTCAATTTTTTAAATAGTATCAAATAATACATATCTAATATAATACATGTAATAGGTAATTACAGTGTGCTAAATATTCTGAGTTATATCAAAACTATAAACAATCTCAAATATGCAGCAACTCACTAAACTTTAGAAATGAGGAAAAATGTATTAAGTTTGTTCTGGAATATGGAATTCTGAAATTCTTAGTTGAAAACTTCAACTTGTAGACAGGGATTTTCTTATAAACTAAAGTTTCTACTAGACTAAAGAATTCTTCCTATCCAGCTTTGTTTCATATTACCAGCTATTTATTTAAGAATTATGTGTAAAAATTGATGTAAATTATTCTGTTAATAACAAATAGAAATAAATTACATGAAATGTTGAATTGTCAAAAATCCAATTACTTTAAAATTTTGTTACCTGGCTAAAAACAAATTTGTTTTTCATTAGGTTAAACAAATCACCAATTTTATGGTTTATTTTGCTTACAATTGGCAATTGGAACGTTCTTTTCTAATGGATGAATTTGCAATGCCTCCGCCTCTTCCTGATGAACTTCCTCTTATCATTGAATCTTCAGAAAATGAAAATAAAGGTGATAAATGTGATAATATAGAAATGAAGAAAATAAAATATAATAATGCAACTAATGTAAAAAATGGAAGTACTACAAATGTTAACAATTCAAAATTTATGTCTAGACCAACTACATTAAATCTAAAAAATATAAAGCATCCAGAAACTGATATTAAGTTAAAAGAGAATTTAGAAGATATTCAGAAAAAGAAAGAGTCAAAGTATATTGAAGACTTTAGTGATCCCTTGAGATCATATTTGCAGTCTGAAGATGACTCTATATTTCATCATCATGGCAGTAGTCTTCATGTAGCGTCTCTACCGTTTTCAAATCAGTTTCGTAAAGCTTTAGATGATGTTGTATTATGCATTTCCCCAAATATAAAGATTACTGTACCTTATTTAGAAACAGAGAATGGGAGAAATTGTGAGCTTCGTCGATTCTTTCCGGAAGAAATATATTGGTCTGAACAATTTCTAAAGGAATTAGAAGGAAGTGGAAAAAAAAATCAGTATATTGATATTGAAGAGGTGTCATTACAGTCATTTATTACAAATGTTAATCAAGACAATATTGAAGTTTTGCCTACTCATTCATTTTTATTTACAAAACTGACTACAACTTTTCAAGATTCTATTCAGACACAAACATTATTAGCAGATTTTAGGGCACGTGGAGGTAGAATTAGACAATTATGTCCCCATGAAATCACAATGAGAGAAAAAGAAAAAAAGTCACAGAATAGAGGAGATACTTTTATTACTGGAATAAATAATGCACAAAAGTCAGAACTCGCAAATGCTGGCCTATTTTGGGAAAAAAAAGTAAGCATTCATTTTTTAATAAGCTTAAATCAATATTATATGTTTCTGATCTATTTTTTTTATGTTTTAGGTAGATGCATTAAGTGCATACAATCATCAGAGATTAGCAATTTTGTTTTGTAGTTATTCTAACAGTTCCAATAATGCACCAAACTTTTGTGTTAGTCCTTGGTAAGTTTTATCTGAATTTATGAAGAAAAATATATTTTATTATATATAATTATGAATTACTTATAACTTTAAATCAGAATGCATTACTGCTACTAGTAATTATTTAATATCCAGTAATTTGGCAGTAGAAATAGCTGTTTGGCATCATCTCTTATTACATTTAATAATTATAATTAAATTAATATTTATTAAATAATTTAGAAAATTCTGGAATAAAACAATCAGCCCAGAATGGGACTCAAACCCAAAATTGTTGCTTACCTTGTGGATGTGTTACATTACACTACCTGGATCTCTATCTGATCCTTTGCTTCCAGACAGTTAATTTAGACATAACCATATTAGTTACTCACTGTGTCAACTGGAGATGACTCAGTGGGTGATTGCAGGCCATGGATGCTGAGTTGTTCCCAGATGGCACCATGAGTAACTAGTATGGTTATATCTGAATTAAATGCCTGGAAGTGAAGATTAGGTGGAGATTCAAGTAGTGTAATGCAACACACTCACAAGGTAAGGGCAATTGCAGGTTAAAGTATAGAATAAATAATAATGAAGGAAGAGTAATATGTAAATCCTGGTTGTCATTTTTACCCAGTAGGGGGAGGGATAATAATAGTTGCATGATACTGTAACGTGAATTGTAATCATGACCATTATATAGTGGATTATCAAGAGATTTTCTTTTTAGATATTGTAGGTGAGTGTTTTTAAACTGTGGTGATATATATAATTAAAATGTTTGTAATGGAAATTAAATTATATTAATTCAGGCCTGTTTATAATGTAATCCTCATAGTACTGAGCAGTGTGGGTGGAAATAAATCTTGAACAGATCAGTTTGTAAACTGGTATTATATGCATACATTTATAATTTTTAAAACTGTTTGTTTTTTAAAATTATTTTAGGTATGTTTTAAATTGTAGATTGTAATTAATGTCAATTTCTCTGCAAATTTGTTCTGCAACAGATATCTATATATTTTTATATATGGCTGATAAGGGTCTTGTGTACCAAAATGCGTACCAGTAATAAAGTTGCATTCTGATGATAGAAGTGTCATTTTGATGTTACCAGTAGCATGTGATAAGTGTGTTATCTCTACTATAGTATTTGAGATATTAGTTAAAACAATTTTCGAGACAAGAAGCTCTTTTATAAAAGCAGGTGTTGTTTTCAAACTTGTTCAATGTTTTAATAATCCAAGCATTGCCAGATACAGTACATCACCTAGTAAACTACAAAAAGGACTTATTTCATCTTAGCCTATAAGCTTGCCTAGTTTCTTACTTTGTTGTTGAATTGAATCATTACTGAGAATCATTTTTTTAAATCTTTTGTTTTCAGTATCTGTCAGCATCTCTGTGATGTAGACAAAGAAGAGTCATGACTGCACTTGAAAACTACTGTTCTAGAGCAGTGCTTTTCAAGCTAGGGGCTATGAGACTCCAGCAAGAATACTGAAGTCTCATAGCCCCTATATAAACATATAAATATAAATATTTATATGTTTATATAAATATTTTTTAACAGTAACACACAAACATTTTTTAACAATTTTGAATTTTTTGTTTTTAATATACTTTTTAATTTAAATAAAAAAGTTATGTTATAACAAAAATTTCTCTCACAAATTAAAAGTATTAATTTTCCTTATCACCAAAAAGCCACTAATACTATAAATAATAATTTAATACTTTTATTTGTTGTTGTAAAGTGACTCTATTGGTCACTTTGGTTATCAGTAGTTACTAAATTAATGTATTTTATTCAGTTGTGTTAATAAAATGTGTATGAGTTTAGACATCTGACTTATAAAGGCTATTTGTTAAAACTGAATGTTAATACATTCATAGAAAACTTTATATAAATATAATAAACTAATTATAAATATAAATTCAAGGAACTGTAAAATTTTAAAATGAAATTTAAAAATCAAATCCATTTAACAAACAAAGCGATAATTTCAGATATGTCGTACTAACCTTGTATAGCTTAGTATTTACTACTTAAAAATGTAACACAAATGTTTTTGACCCACTTCTATGGTCTTCCTCAGATGTTTTATAATTTTTCTGGTGTGATTCCGATTTTTAACCGTTCAGGTCTCCAACGCTTCTATCTTCGGAATTTATTTTTTAAAATTTCAAAATGTGAATCTCCAAATGATGTGCGCCTGCTCCAGTTGTTATAGCGTTGATCATAAATAGCTTGCCATGCTCTTGATAGTTGTTTTTTTTCTTTAAATTTGATTGACAGGCCTTTGCAGTCCACTTTAAAAATTTCTAACGCCTCTAGATTTCATAGTTGGCTTATATGTTGGGTCTGTCGAATCATTGTCACTTGTATGTTAGGTGTAATGCCGTTTTTGTTGGAATATATCGCTAAGGCGGTATTGTTTTTTTTTTTTTGGGGTCCGTTCTGTGTTCACAGAGTCATTGTTTGAGCGATCTTTTTGTAGATCCGACATAAACGAGGTCCCTATTGAATCTTTTATCTTTTAATGGGATTTTATATACTCCTGGTGTTCTTTTGATTTTGGCCCAATCTTTCTCATTTCTCAACATGGCGAATGTGTGTGGCTTACGTCTGTAGGCTATTTTTGCGTTAGTGTAAGCTCCAATTTCTTGATATAGGGACTGCATAGGGCGCTCATATGTTATAGCTATACGGTAGGGAGATGTATCTTGTTGTGGATCCTTTCCTGGAATCCCATTCAATTGGTCTTCGAGCTGGTTTTGTTGATTATTGTCCATTCTATATATTGGGTCTTTATTGTAGCTGTGACTTTCAGCAATTTCTGCTATTTTCTTTATTTCCCTCCATTGGTCTTATTCTTTGCTACAGTGTATGTAGGCTCTTCTGATAAGTGCTCTAAAAGATGCCATTTTGTAGTTGTATGGGTCGTTACAGTCAGCTGGGATTTATATCAGGATGACACTTAGTTTTCGGTATATATTTGTGTCATATCTGCTATCATTGAATGTTATACTAAAGTCCAAAAAATGAACCTCTTTATTGTTTATTTGTTCCAATTCAATTGTAAGGTCATACGGGTTGCAATTCATACAATTGAATTGGAACAAATAAGCAATAAAGAGGCTTATTTTTTTGGACTTTAGTATAACATTCAATGATAGCAGATATGACACAAATATATATCGAAAACTAAGTGTCATCCTGATATAAATCCCAGCTGACTGTAACGACCCATACAACTACAAAATGGCATCTTTTAGAGCACTTATCAGAAGAGCCTACATACACTGTAGCAAAGAATAAGACCAATGGAGGGAAATAAAGAAAATAGCAGAAATTGCTGAAAGTCACAGCTACAATAAAGACCCAATATATAGAATGGACAATAATCAACAAAACCAGCTCGAAGACCAATTGAATGGGATTCCAGGAAAGGATCCACAACAAGATACATCTCCCTACCGTATAGCTATAACATATGAGCGCCCTATGCAGTCCCTATATCAAGAAATTGGAGCTTACACTAACGCAAAAATAGCCTACAGACGTAAGCCACACACATTCGCCATGTTGAGAAATGAGAAAGATTGGGCCAAAATCAAAAGAACACCAGGAGTATATAAAATCCCATTAAAAGATAAAAGATTCAATAGGGACCTCGTTTATGTCGGATCTACAAAAAGATCGCTCAAACAATGACTCTGTGAACACAGAACGGACACCGAAAAAAAAAAAAAACAATACCGCCTTAGCGATATATTCCAACAAAAACGGCATTACACCTAACATACAAGTGACAATGATTCGACAGACCCAACATATAAGCCAACTATGAAATCTAGAGGCGTTAGAAATTTTTAAAGTGGACTGCAAAGGCCTGTCAATCAAATTTAAAGAAAAAAAACAACTATCAAGAGCATGGCAAGCTATTTATGATCAACGCTATAACAACTGGAGCAGGCGCACATCATTTGGAGATTCACATTTTGAAATTTTAAAAAATAAATTCCGAAGATAGAAGCGTTGGAGACCTGAACGGTTAAAAATCGGAATCACACCAGAAAAATTATAAAACATCTGAGGAAGACCATAGAAGTGGGTCAAAAACATTTGTGTTACATTTTTAAGTAGTAAATACTAAGCTATACAAGGTTAGTACGACGTATCTGAAATTTAGAAGACTTTGACATTAAAAAGTTTGACAAGCACTGGTCTAGAATGACACGTAATGTAATCTATGGGTTATTATTATAAACTTTTAGAAGTACTCACTATTTATAAGTTAAATTATTATGTATGTATATATCATTAACTAAAACATATATTCATAATACAGTGGTGCCTTGTACTGTACTTTGAATTTAATTTGTTTCAAGAGGCCATTCTAAGTCTGAATTGTTTGAAGTCTGTATTAATTTTGCCCATTAGAAATATTAGAAAGTGAATTATTGGTTTTCAGACCTCAAACATTACCTATTTTGATATACTTAAACAGAAAATACACATAATTTAAGGTAAAAATAACACAAGTAAATATCCTAAATAATAAATTAAATCAAAAAGAATAAATAAAAATATGTAAATACTCTATAATAAAATGAAAATTGCATTTACTATCAACATATCTTAGTGAGGGGGTCATAAAATTATATGTACTGTATATGTAAAATAATATGTATTATTTCATGGTGCCATGTGTTCACAAGTTTTATATAACTTGGCTGTTTAAAGGTTTCCTTATTTAGTTTTGTAAATTTATGGTAAGCAAAGAGAGACATACTCTGTTTATTCAAATAACATACCTTAGTGAGGAGTGGTGATGTCTTGTTTCTTAATTAAGGTTGCTATGCAGCTGCTTAGTTTTTCACAAATAATTCTACCAGAAATTTCATCTCCAGTCAATTGCTTCTCATTTATCTACAGTAGGAGGAGATTTTAATCTTCTCAATTACATGCAATCTCCTAGAGGTTACACTTTTAGCCATATTTACTGATTTATTGCTTCCTTGTTCTTAAGAATGGTACACACCATTAACATCAGCATCTTAAACATAACCACAAGATTTGCTACATGTATAGCACTTTCATGCTTCACATTAAGTTTCTTTTTTACCCTGATCATTAATACCAAAAACTTTCCTCTTACCCTTCGTTGCTTCTACACTTTTCTTGGATGTCATGGTTAATAGGTAGAAGTTACATATATAATCAAACACACCAAAATTAAAATGAAAAAAGCACTATAATACTACAAAAATACATAAGCATAATGCAAGAGACAATTTTACAGCAAGAATGAGAGACAACTTGTGTGCACAACAGATGGCATTTCTGCAGAAAATGTCTTTTTTACTGCTAATACAGTTCAAATATAAAGGCATCATTTGGATTCCAGGTAGAATTTCTCTTGAATTTAGCATTCAAAGTTAGTCATTTGAAGTACAAGGTATTACTGTTTATAAATTTATACCTTTTTATGCTTGTTTTTAGTTTTTTTATGAATTGTACTTATTATTATTGTTCATTTAAAATTGAATTAAAGCAATGACAATTCAATTATATTTTAGGGTTGTAAATATGGACTTTTACGGTTGTAATGACATTCCTTTAGGTGATTTTTTAGAGCGATATTGTTTCAGGTGAGTTAAGATAATTTACTTTTTTTGTATTTATATTTTTATAACTTATAATTGTGGTATATAAATTACTGATACATATTTTTTATCATTTTATTGCTGGTCATAATTACCCTATTACACATGTACTACATTAAATTAATAGTGCTATTAATGGCATAAAAATTATGCATTCAAATCAAATAGTTAAAAGTGGCAAATTTATAAAATATTCAGCATGCTCATCTTAGTTATTGTGCTCCTTTAGTGCATCAACATAGTAAAATACAATGCTGTTTAGCTGGACTACAGTTTTATTAGGAATTTATCTTTGTTATTTAGCTGTATATACGGCATCTTTATCATTTTTACCATTTTTGAAGAATAAACACATCGTTTGATGATACAAATGATATATGATGTTGAAGTACACCTAATTCTGTTTTTACACAGACTTTTTTAAACAATTTTAATTTAACACAATTTTAAAAAAATAATAATTTGTCAAGTATGATCCTAATGAGGAATTACCTTTTAAAGTTTTAATGTGATCTGAATCATTAATGTTCTTTTATAGAGAATTATATAAAGGCCTAACCAAAATATGAACCCAGCCATTAATTAATAACTGAATTCATTCATAAAACCACTGTAACATCAGCACCACAGGACATTACTGCTAACGTTCAGGAATTCATAGAAAATTTCAACTGTGGACAAAGAACACAATAACTAAAACATTTTTAGTGGTAGCAGTGATATTGCAATCATGTGCAAATGCATGTATTTATTTTCAGAAAGTTACCGCAAATAAAATCTTATGTATAACTCACATCACATATTTTGCCCAATTTTTATATTCATTAATTCTTTGTTTTTTGTTTTTCAAATAAAATTTATGTTCCTGTAATTCATTTTTATTTATGTGAAATAAAATTTGATAACATGCAAAAAAAATAAGATTCTAACAAGGTATTTCATGTGGTTTATTTCATTGTTTCATTTGGTCCATAACCAATCTTCTACTTTTTCCATAAATCATGTAAAAAAAAATACATTGTATATTTTTTACATGTAATTTCTGGGAACCAATCTATCGTGTAAAAATAGAATTAGGTGTATATTGAATTCATTTATCTTGGTAAATGTTAATTTAGTATACTTCAATGTATTGAAAAGAAATTGAGCAAAAATTGTAAACTTGGACATTTCTTAATAAAATTGAAACTACTATTCTTTAATCAAATGATTTTGTCTATCAGATTAAAAATTTATTTCTAAGATAAAATAATTCCTCTTTAAAACAACTTTTAAGATTAATTGGGGAACACAAAGAAAAGGCAAACATAAAAATAAATGACTGTTTATTTGCATCTTTTACTTGTTGACTTTGCTGGATATTTGTTTGCCAAACTGATGCTGAGCTTTTGTTAATCTGCTATGCATAGATTATCTTTGAATTCAAATATTTTGATTTCTAACTAAAAGCCTCAAAATTATTGCCTCTTAAAATAGCTAACTATCTATTTGTTATCTACTGGTCTTAACATATATGATTCACACCTTCACAATGTTTAGTCCTTGATCATGTTAAAAAAATAACTTTTAGTTTGAGCCACAGGGTACACAATGGGTGAAATTTATAGTATAGTAAATAATAGTTTTATACTGTCTGTGAACACACAAAATGTTATCATTGTAATCTAATTCATAAATAATATCCTGGTACTCTAAAGCAATTTAAATGTGCTAAATCTAACAAAGAGTGTCTGTTTCAGGAGGAAGAATGAAAAAAATTGTTACGTCACAAATGTGTTAATATTTCTAGCTGAATATTTATTTTTATTTTATGATATTGAGACATGAAATTTATATGAATGAAAAAATATTTCAAAAGAGGAATTACTAGAAATTTATCAACTTTCAAGATAAAAGTTTAAATAGGAGTATAAAAATGACATCTTTGTTTATGTCATTTTTATACTCCAGAAACAGTAATTAAAATAGTACTTCTCACTTCTTACTTTTTCCAGCAGGTAGTTTACTAGTTCAAACAAGCTTTTTCAACTGCTTAAGTGGCCCTCATCAAGTATAAATAGTGTATTCAAAAGAATTCATTGTATTTCAAGGCATTTGAAGCTTTTTAAATTTCTATATATACAAATTTCTACAATCTCTACAACTTTGAACCTTACTTAAATGGTTTAATTGTTTGCATCTTTTGATGTAGTCATTCTTTGAACATCAGTTTGAATATCAGTATGAAAATTTAAAAGCTTCAAACATCTCATAACTCAATGGATTTGTCTGAATATGTTGTTCATACCTGATGAGGGCAACTTAAGTGGCTGAAAGTATTTGTTGGAACTAATAAAATATATGCTGGAAAGAAGTAAAGAATGAGAGATATTACTTTAAGCAAGAGTATTGAATAATAATATTAATGTAGACTGATGTATAGCAAATGGTACTAAATAGAACTAAAAGTGAAGTACACTATGTATTAGTGTTCGATGGTTTCTGGAAAAATTATAATGGCAGACAAATATGTATGACAAATGAAATATGAAATATTTTCAAATTTTTTTTTAAAGATGCTCTTTCTGAGTTTATCCAAACTGAGGTTATTTTTAAAAATGATTTGTATATTGACTTACAAATTGGTTATGTTGTATTAGAAGATTTATAAAATGGTTCTATTTAAAATTTTAATCCTGTTATGCTACTTATTGGTGATTTTATAATTTTTCAAAAGTAAATAAATTTTTGATAGCCAATAGGAACTATTCTTATTCTTTTGATGATCTGGTAAATGAGAGTGAATTTTGATTATGACAGTTACTTTATAAAGCCATGAAGTGAAATACATAAATATATATTAGATTAAACCATTTTGCATTTAAACATTAATAAAAACCTTTTATACTTGCGAACCATTTTATTTGCTGTATTTACCACATTTAAATACTGGTACCTTTAAGAAAAAATAGACAAAACTACAACATAAAGATGCATTGTTTTACAGTCAATTGTTATAGTTGCCAGTATAGAAAATGTTTCCTAATAATTAATACTTTAAAATAAAATTTTCAAATTAAACACTATCTTATTTTGAAAGAAATATTTCTTACAACCTTGTTTAATGTATTTTTTTTTTCATCATAATAAAAATATTTAAACCTTATCTGAAAAGTATAGTTTTTTTCTTTGTAGATCAAATTATTTATGTCCTAGTCACAGCTGTGATACACCAATGATAGAGCATATTCGAAAGTTTGCACACGAAAATGGATGTGTACAAATTTTACTTCACAAGTTAGAAACAGCTTTACCAGTAGCTCAAAATAATATTTTTATGTGGAGTTGGTGTCAGAAATGTAAGTTGGTAAGTATAATATTAAATTCATGAATAAAATTTAATAAATGGTACAATTGTTATGGCTGTGAAGAATTGAACCCAAACGTTATTTTATTTTCTGGGGCCATTATATTTTGTTAAGTTTTTTCTTATTTTGAGGAGTTTGTTTTGTTAAAAGGACAAAAATCTCACACCCTCCATTCAAAATTTATCTCTGTTTAAAAACTGATAGCTTTATCCCATTCTTGCTGTTGCTTATGTCAGCAAATTCCAGTTGAAAATGGCATCTATGATTTGGTGAATTAAAATTGGTCAGTAAGTCACTATATTGCATGATAATATTTTGTCAAATATTATATGGGGAAAATTGTCAGTAAGAGAAAGTTGTTAGCAAATAAAGTGTAGATGAGCACACAATAACATTTGAAATGTGACATCACTTTCAATGCTTAGAAGACTGAAAAAGGAAAGTCAAGATATAATTTCCAGTTGACACCAATTGTAACGAATAGGTGATTGATCTGAGAAAAGTTGCGATTGTAAGTTAGATTCAAGTTAGAAATTAAGAAGCATTTCATGTTGGATAAAAGTCAATTTATTTGCTTTTGTTGTCCAAAATAAGTTTGTTCAGAACTAAATAATTTTTCCTATATTTGTTGTATCATTTAATGTGTTAATTAAACTTTAATGGAAATTTGCCAATTATAAACTAACTATTGTAATTTTTTTATAATTTGTTAATAAGTTCATTTTGTTAATTTTTGAACTTTACAACAAATTTATTACATAGTTAAAGTCGAGATTCACAACCTTATATGTTTTTACTATTATCTGAATTTTATGAATGTATAAGAGTGCATAAGAAAAGGATTCAATGTATATGAACATATGACTAATCAAATTTTTTTTTTCTACAAGTTCTTTCATATGCCTTTATTTTATTTTCACATAGTTGTTAATATACACCCACAATTGCCATAAATGATCTGGCTAAATTTGAACATAATGATTATAAATTGGAAATTAATTTGGCACTAGAGTGAGGTGTTAGATGCCATCTCGTATTAAATTTAATAATTATAATATTTAATTAATTAATTTAGATTAAACTGGAAGAAAAGAATCGGCTTGAAGCAGCAGTTGTGGATGTATATTTGCTTAATATCAGGTTTTGATTGGTGTGTATATTTGCACATAGTTGTTTTAGAGATTTTGTATTTTCCTAAAAAAATTATCATCATTTATTTCAATTGTGAAGAAAAAGCATTAAATTTTGTTGCAAATTGAGTAAAAATATGGCTAAAATCTATATATTGATAAACAGTATATGGTAACAATATTTTTTGCCACATTTTTGAATGATGTGCAAGATTTTAATGTATAGTACCTAGGAGGATTGTACAGATGATAATCTTAAGATTAATTTTGCAGCTACATTCAGCAGTTTGAATTAAGGAGTTTTTGATTAAGTATGGTAATACTGTAATAAATTATTTTCTTATTCATAAATATCTCTTGTTAATTACAGTAAAATTTTGTTAAATCAAACTTTAAGGGGTAAAATATTCTGACTGAGTTAAAAAGGTTCAAGAGTTTATTACCTGATTTTTCTCAAATTTTTCTGTGGCTATAAATTTTCCATTATCAAGCTGCTTCTCAAGAATCTGTTCACAGAATGATTACAAACTGTGTACAGTTTATGGCAGTTTTGAGGATATTGTCAAGGTGCCCCTTTGTGTTCCATTCAGAGTGCCAGTAGCTTATTGCATCAGTAAAAGGATGTGCAACTAAAGGTTGTAATGGCATAGTGTTGTTTTTGGTCTGGAGCTGTAGCATTTGTTTATCTTAATTATCTATTCACAAGGAATATAAAAGAAAATGGAGATCAGAGACTTATCAGAGTGGAGAGTACACAGAAAAATAGATTCAAGTTAAAATTGATGACAATTTTGACTTAATGAGACTGTGTTAAATGGAAAATCCTGCATAATGTGCCTAGGATCCAAAAAACAGCTTTAACACAGTTCAACATAGTGAGTTTTTACCATATTACTTGTTCCCTGAAATCACATTAACAATCAAATGACAATAAAAGAAAGATAACTTGAAAATATAGAGGATGATAATTAGATATTAAATGTGTGTTAAAGGAATTAGTGAAAGTAAATTTAGAAAAATTTTTAAAAATCATTTAATTCCTCTGAATGAGTGCAAAAATTTTCTCTTTTCAAGACTACTTTAAACTTATTAAAATCTTTATTATTCTAACTTATGGTTTCTTTTAAATTTACATAATCTGATATATCAATTGTCCTAAAAGCAGGACAGAATTTATTAACATGATTCCACTGATGTTCCAAATGCCATGAAAACTTTGGCTGCAATCTTGCTATTATATATTTGTTTTAGAATTTTAGATGTTTTTATTATTACATTTTATAAATAATGAAGATTTGTTCATATTTTAAAAGCACACAGTATGTGATTTATAATACAGATAAGAAATTTTTGATTGGTTTGAATCTTGATGTCTTAAAAAATAGAATCTATCATCTGTTATGATGAAAAATATTCCATTGGATTGGCAGAAGTTCTTTTGAATTATTTATTATAAGTTATTTATTGAGTTTATTTGCTTTTTTCTAGTTGGATCTTATACTAACAACTGCTTTTGTCATTTTAAAGTCATATAGCCAATAAGATTCTGTTTGATGGCATTTTGACGAATCTTCAATCAATCTTAATGATTTAATATTTAAATTTATTCTCACACAATTTAGTTTAGAAAATAGAAAAAATAAAATACATTTTTACCATCTTCTGTTGTTTTACTTCTGGAAGGTCAAAATACAATGGTTATGTAAAATAAATAAATAAAAATTTATTGTGATGTTCAGAGGAAGATTATTGTCAATACTTATACAATTCGAAACTTTATGCTGGAGATTTTTCTTTGAAAGATGCTCTAATCTTTGAAAGGCCTTCTGAAATTGATAATGATAAAATTGTTGCATTAATTTAGAATAATTTATGTTAATACATTACTAGACAGATTGCTGAGTTTGCCCCTAGCAAAAGATCAGTTTTTAGACTTGAGGAATTTGGTTGTACAATCACTGTGATGTTTGGTGCTGTATAAATTGATGAGACAAATTTAATAAATCACATCTCCATTTATGGTTTGCTGAAACACAATAATTACAATATATTTTTGAAACAGTTATTGACCAGTGACAAAATTTGGATTCTTTATTATTATATAAAGAGAGAAAAAAATCTTGTGGAAAGCAGATGGGACACCATTCATACAATTAGAAGCCAGACTACATTTGTTTATTTTGTGAAAGAAAGAAATTAGGTCACAATCAAGATTCTTTCTTGCCAAAAGCAGATAAAGGAATTATAATCATTGGTATAAAAAAACCAATGATTATAATTTTTGTTTACTTTTGTGAAGAAATGTTTTTTAATATTTCTGTTCTGTTTACTGATTAGTTATATCTCCAATTTGTAAGGAAAATCTAACTTCAATAACTATAATTCTTTAGCAAGAAAGTATTGCATAAATGCATTCAGAATATATTTATAATGTAGGATTTTTATATCTATTTTTTCAAATTAAATCTTTATGAAAAGAAATATATTATAAAATTTAATGAAATATATTAACTTACATGAACATTTCACACACATACTGTATAAATCAATGTTACCGAAATTCAAATGATAATAGCAACATCATCCACAAATATATAAAACATTATCTAAACTTCCTTAAGTAAATTCTTCAAATTAGAAAACAAGCATAATTTATTTTATTTTAACTAAAACACTAGGAATTGTCTTACAGACAAAGAATTTCATCCTCCAAAAAACCCAAAACATAACAAAAATTTAAGAATAATACAAAGTTTGTTTACAGTGACATTTAAAACACACAAAATCATGATGTTCAACATTATATACATTAGATATGATAAAAGTATGAATGATGAGCTAGAAAGAGCATAAAAGGAGACAGAAAATAGAAGATACGTGTATGATGATCAGATACTTGCTGACAAAGCCAGGAAGGTCGTACATTTTTGTTAAAATATTTATGGAAAATAAGACAATCAAAGTAACTAGTGCATTCATATAATGAGGGAAGACCATGGACCTGGGAAGACTGGCTATGTTAGGGTGAGTGGTATAAGGCAAATGACAACACTTATTAAGAGCAAGGTATAATTTATTGAGTTTCCTTGATACTTTTTCTAGGAAGGAGGGAGAGACCATGGCCCAAATTGGGAGCTAGTTGTCAATGATGAACTGAAAATTGGAAAAAAAGATCAAGAAAGAATGTAGGACAGTTTTCAAAGAGATTGTCTTACAAAAATGCTAAAGAATGCTGCATCATATTGCAAGAGATTTGACAATTTTTTCAATATGACCTTTAAAGGATAGTCTTTTTTTGTCATAGACAATGTCTAGATCATTCAGTGAATTAACTTATTTAATGGGCACTTTATTAATAGTAAAAGCAGGTAATTTTATATTGTGAATTAGAGAACACTAAGAACAGTTTTATTTATATTTATTCTAAGGTTGACCTTGGAAAATAAAGTAAAGAAAAGCTTAAGGTCAGTTTGAAGAGTGGAGGGATCATGACTTAAAATTTTAATATCAGTGGCATAAGAATAACAGAGGATTGAATTTGACCGAGGATATTGTGTATATAAGCCAAAAAAAAAGTCTACTTTATTAAGTAGTCTTTTATCCTTGTGGTATGCCTCAAAGAGCTATAAAATCCAGGCTATACTTTCCTGATTTAATTTTACAATTGCATATAAGGAAACAATTAAACCAAGAATGAAAATATGAAAATGGGAGGTATATTAAAGTATTTGTATAATATCGAAAGAAGTAAATTAGAAGGACAATATCAAAAGCATGTCTAATATCAATGTAGGCAACAAAAACTAGATGCTTTTTTTCAAAATTATCAATTAGGATAGATAGTGTCAATTAGGTTAGTGGTAGTAGAGTGGTGACAAGGTTCACAATGTTGGATAGGAGTGTGTCTTGGAGAGAAGGAAAAAGTATGGTATACACATGTTTCAAAGGTTTTCAGCATAGCGAGGGAAATAGATATAGGATGATAAGAATTTTTGGGATAGTGGATGAAATCCACTGATTGGGTTTGAATTATTTATTTATTTATTTATTACATTGCAAATATGAAAAGCCAGTTGGCTATTGATCTCCATCCTCCATTTAACAAAATCCCAACAACAGTAAAAATAAAAATATATAAAAATGTGTAAAAATCCAACATTTTTAAAGAGGATACATATAAGTGTGTAAAAACAACACAGCTAAGAAGATACAAAAATTGTGTAGAAACACTACATGCACAAAAAGGTGTATAAAAACACATGAATACACTAAAATCATAAAGACGGTTAAAATGTGCAAACACACTATAGACATGTAAAAAATATATGAAATCTGACAAAAATAAAAATATGAGCATACAGGTAACCCCCGTATAACACGGCACTTCTATAGCACGGATTCGCTCTAACACGGTTTGAGAATTGGTACCATCCCCCATATAACACGGTACTTTTATAGCACGGATTCACTCTGACACGGTTCGAGAATTGGGTAAAACCCTCGTACAACAGGAAATGTAATAAATTTTTACATACTTAAGTACTAATAGTTCACAAAAATTATTATTTTCGTGAACTATTAGTACTTAAGTATGTAAATTTTCTCTTCTCGCCTTCTGTCGATACACGTGGTCCTTCTCGAAACTTGTTTCAATGTTGCCAGATCGCGACGCTTCTGCTTCTGATGTTGCCGAATGTTTTTCCCTTATTCCATACTTGCTTTATTCTTCATAAGTGCTTAGCACCATATAAGGAAATTTATAAAGACCTTTTAACTAGAAGCAAGCAATCTAAAATTACATACATTTTGCAAAAGGTAAAGCATGGATCTGAAGATAATGCAGAAAAATGCTCAGAGGATAAGGATAACTTGCCAAAAAGAAAACGCTCTCGGTTAATTAATAGTGTTTTTAGTGATGACGAAGAAAACATTGTTTAATTTATATTAATATGTATCACTTAAAAAAATTTTAATGAAGATATTTATCTTAATTATGAAAATATACTAGCATGTTTTTTAATTTTTGGAACCTAACCCTCCTTTTCGTATTAGTTCTTTGTTTCGTATAACACGGATTTGCATAACACGGCAATTTTTTGGAACGTAACAACCGTGTTATACGGGGGTTACCTGTATAAAGACATGTAAAAAGTTATTTTGACTCATAACGTAAAATTATGATTAATTGAGAAAGAGACATTTACATGATAATTTGTATTTAGAAAAAGTTACATAAAGTTGATTTTCTATCAGAGAAATACTTTCAGATATATAATAAAAAAAAAATATATGAGATATTGATAAACAAAAATGTGGGGCAGATATACATGTTGAATTATCAGTGAATCTACCTGAAATAACAATACAAATAAATATAAATATATAAGAAATTTAAACAATAGGTTGAACGGTACCAGAGAGATAAAAAATAACTATAATAATAATAATAAAACAATAACAACAACATTCATTTTTAAATTAAACATCCCATATACATTATTTGTTTTTATAAATTTGCATTTAACATATTTTATTTATTATTATACAATTCTTCTACTACACAAATGCTTTTATTTATAATATTTTATACTAAATTTGAAACTTATTTATAGACAACTCCAGTGATTTCAATGTCTCAAGATACTTGGTCTTTATCTTTTGCCAAATATTTAGAATTACGATTTCATGGAACACTCTACAGTTGTAGAGCAGTAGAAAATTGTCAACATGCACTTCATCATAGTTACTATCAGTACTTTGCTCATAAACAAATAGTTGCAACTTTCAAGTAAGAAATCTATAACAGACTATAACGCATTAAATATTTTTTTTAACTTTTACAAAATATTTTATTTATAATAAATATATTTGATAGATATACGCCCATTAATATGAGAGAAGTAGCTTTACCTCCTCTTATAATAACAATTCAGGATGATCCTATTCCACCAACAGCTATAATTGAAGAAATTAAAGTATTAGCAGTTAAGTAAGTATAATATTACAGTTAATAAAGATAACTTTTGTTTGAGATAATTAATGTAAAAATTTTATAAATACATATTTTAATTGTATTTTAATATTTATATATTTGAATAAATATAACAGTTTCAGAGAAATTGTTTTTTTTTTCCTAATTGTTTTGTTTCTGAAATGGAAAATTTTATTAAGAATTTACAACACTCATTTTAAATCTTATTCTTGAACAAATTGCCTCTGGTTTTATTATACTTCAAGTGTTTGTCTGTTTGTTTGTTATTTACTTAAAGGAGTTAGCTGTATTAATGAGATCGTGATTATAAAAAGTTAGAGGACTATCATAACTGAAAAAATTTGTAATTGATTTGGATGAAATTAGATACATTGCTCCAAAAATACTCTGTACTAGTTAAAAGCAAAGTTTTCATTTTGTATTAAGACAATATGGACTATATTGTGAAAATGATTAGAAAATTTTTATTCAACTTTCCATATTCTCCAAACAGCATAATTGATTAAAACCTTTCCTTCCTTGTTGAACAATCTACATGTAACTATCTTTCTTATAACAAATTCATCTATCTTATTTCTATTTGAAAGGCATTGTCTTCTTGCAATACTCCAAATTCTCAATCTTCAACTTTGCAAAGTTCACTTTCGGTCCACTTTCATTATATTTTCCCATTCTAATCATGGTCTTTTCTTTCACAAAGGAAAGAAAATTAATATTTTAATAGGAAGGTAATACAGAACCACCATGTAATCCAGCACCAGATTATCAACTCCACAAGTTCTAAAACAAACTAATTTTTCAACTACTTTGAGTAGCGATTATCAGGTAATATAATGTTCTAAAATAGAACTAACATTCTGGATCTCAAAATTTGAATGCAAGTTTGATTGGAAGGCATATGTGATGTCAAATAAAGATGCTAGATTATCTATAATGCTTAAAAGAGTGCTCTAAATGCATTTGTAAGTGTGTCACAGTCTTTGAAATTAATTGATGTATTTCTTTTGTTGGCCTTATAAATTTCTAACACAGTTTTAATTTGTTTTATCTTGGACTTGATGGATTAGGCCAGTGTTTCTAAACTTTTTCTTGGACCAGTAAAGTTGTGGATAATTTTACATGAACCAGTAATTATATGTGACTATAAATTACACTTATTTATTACAGTTACATATGCTTATCTAGCATTATTGTATGTAAAGTATTTATAGTAACTCTACTGTTTAAATAGCACCCATAGTCAACTGTACCAGCATCAGTACAGTCAAATATTTTTCTGTGGACTGGTGAAATTTTTTCACGGATCGGTACGGCAGGTGAAAAACACTGGATTAGACATTTGTTGAACTGGATAGACATTTGGTCATCTAGTGCATAGGCAGCCAAAGGTGCCTGATTGCCCTTTATTAATGATGACTTGATGTATGTCTAATACATCAAGTCTGAGATAAAACACAAATTAAAACTCTGGAAAAGTTAGAAATTTATAGGGCCAACAGAAGAAATATATCAATTAATTTCAAAGAATCTGACACATTTGTGAATGTACTGTACAATACATATGGAGAGCATTTTTTTGAAGTGTTGTAGATAGTTTAGCATCTTTATTTGATGTCACAGATGCCTTCCAATCAAACTCTCATTTGAACTTTTCAAATTCAGGATGTTACTTCTATTATGGAACATCATAACCTGATAGTACTCAATGTAGTTGAATAGCCATCATCAGTTAAACAGTTATATGATTTTGAACTTGTGTAGTTGATAACTTGTGCTGGATAACCGGGTAATTTGTGTGTAGCTTATCTATATATCTAGTTTTTAACCACACAGTAATACAGAACATAAAAGTATAAGAACATAAACAGAATACAGATAGTCACTGACTTTCAAACATGATGTGTTTCCAAAAATGTTTATAAAAGTCAAGTGTGTGAAAATTAAGTAACAGATTTTTGTGTTATACAAGGATTCTGTACCTAGAGTTAAAGAGAGAAATTATAAAATTTTTTATTAAAAGGTAGAAATGTTTGTTTTTATAGTGAATATTTTATAATATACAACATACAAAACATTATTTAAAATATTAAAACAAAAAGAATACAATAAAAATTTTCAAAAATGAATTTTTACATTACTGAAATCAAAACTTACAAAATGCCATTGCTTGATAGTTCAAAATTTTTGTTTGTCAACCTGAAAATATATTATAGGGTGCATTTGGCATATAAAAAACAATTTAGGGTATCAAAGTAATATGTATAAAAGAGAATTATCTGAAAGTTTAATGTCCAAAAGTCAAGGATTGCCTGTAAGGGATTCAAATATGAGACAGAAATTTTTTACAAACATTCTAAACATTAACAATATCAAAAAGTTAAATTTAAGAACATTTTCAAACATTTAACTGAGTTATTTAATCTGATGGTAATGCTTATTTCATTTCAACAAATATTTTATTTTAATAAACTGTTGACTCTGAATTTTTGTTTCCATGGTTGTGACAATCTATATCAACTGAAGGTCAAAAGAATTTTTGTTTTTGATTATTAAGTGTTTTATAAAGATGCCATTTANAGACTATGAAATAATATAGTATTATATATTGTGATAATATACAAATTGTATATCAAAGTTAAAGGTAGTACTTTATTTCAGTTGAGTAAATAGAGATCAAAAACAAAGATTTAAGAATTTAGCAAGTTTCAAACTAGATATAAAATGATAAAATAATTTCCAATGAACTGTTTTGCCATTTTATATTATAGGAAGATTATTATTAAATAAAATTATTTCATTATAGCAAGAAAGAGCCAAATTTCGAGAAAAAATTGAAGAAATTCAATTAAAATTAACTTCGCCCACTTTGGAAAACATGCAAAGCATTCCATCTTCAGTAGAAAACGAAAATAACAACAAAGGTACTGTACAATTTCTTTAAAGTCATAAAAAGATAAATAGTAAAAAATGTTTATATATTTCTGAAAATGTTAATTAACCTTGTTTTTATATTACAGACCTGTGCAATTTAATGTGGAAAATAGCTGATTGTGTGTTGCTAGTGAAAAAACAAATTGCAGAAGCTGTTCAGGGATGGAATTTTAGGTAATTGTGGAAAATTTTGAGGAGAAAAATATACTACATATGTTGTTCTGCCTATGTTGATATTAATCAAGTATTTTGAATCTGTTTTAATGTTCCTTTTGCTATATAATTATAATAATTTCTTTTGCATACACAAATATTAGTTGGACCTTGACTTATATTTGAGCCTGATTAACCCATAAAGGCCATTTCATAGCAAAATGCATATCTCACGTGACATACTCTAAATTAATAAAAGCTATTTTCTGAAAGTATAAAGTCCACCAGTGGCCAAGTGGATAAACCACCAAACACTTGTTGTTAGACCACATTTATAACTTTTGTTTTCACTAATCCTGACCTATTTAAGACATAGAAAATAGTCTCTATATGTTTACCAAATGCATATACTTTTTTTGGGAGGAATTGGAACAGTTTTGAAATGGAAAAAATTGTAAATCTGTGTTAAACATTGCAAAAGTCAACAAAACTTTACACAATTTATAATAATAATGATAAACAGTTGCTAAAATTCTGGTTACCAAATGGATTATTTAATTTGAATGTTTTCAGCAATGTCTTTGGTCATCTTTAGCTTATGGAATAAAGAGAATAGAATTGTTTTAAATTTAAAATGTACAGTACAAATTTAAATTAGGAAAAAACATAAACAAATAAANCGTTAGGCTTAGGAGTTATGTAAGTGTTATGTTCTGTTTAATCCCTTTATTGCACATGTCCATGTGCATGCGCAACAACTACTTGATCTATTTTCTTATTAATTTTTAGCATGCTCCACTATAGTCATTCGATCCATTTATTGCACAAGTCTACGCTCGCTTTCTGGCGATCTCGTGAAGAGAATAGCGAGACTATTTAAAGAAAAGTTGAGGCATGCAGAAGTATGTGTTTGTTTATATATTTGACATTTTTAATCAAATCTCATGTTTCTCTACACACATGTGCAATGACTTCACTTTTGTTATTTAAGTGTTATGTTCTATTTAATCCATTCAAAATAAAAACAACAGTAATAATAATAATAATAATACTTTTTACCTATAAGAGATAAAATATTAGTAACAAAGCCATAAACTGACAGATACTCCCCATTATTGTTATAAGGAAAGACTATGAAATAATATAGTATTATATATTGTGATAATATACAAATTGTATATCAAAGTTAAAGGTAGTACTTTATTTCAGTTGAGTAAATAGAGATCAAAAACAAAGATTTAAGAATTTAGCAAGTTTCAAACTAGATATAAAATGATAAAATAATTTCCAATGAACTGTTTTGCCATTTTATATTATAGGAAGATTATTATTAAATAAAATTATTTCATTATAGCAAGAAAGAGCCAAATTTCGAGAAAAAATTGAAGAAATTCAATTAAAATTAACTTCGCCCACTTTGGAAAACATGCAAAGCATTCCATCTTCAGTAGAAAACGAAAATAACAACAAAGGTACTGTACAATTTCTTTAAAGTCATAAAAAGATAAATAGTAAAAAATGTTTATATATTTCTGAAAATGTTAATTAACCTTGTTTTTATATTACAGACCTGTGCAATTTAATGTGGAAAATAGCTGATTGTGTGTTGCTAGTGAAAAAACAAATTGCAGAAGCTGTTCAGGGATGGAATTTTAGGTAATTGTGGAAAATTTTGAGGAGAAAAATATACTACATATGTTGTTCTGCCTATGTTGATATTAATCAAGTATTTTGAATCTGTTTTAATGTTCCTTTTGCTATATAATTATAATAATTTCTTTTGCATACACAAATATTAGTTGGACCTTGACTTATATTTGAGCCTGATTAACCCATAAAGGCCATTTCATAGCAAAATGCATATCTCACGTGACATACTCTAAATTAATAAAAGCTATTTTCTGAAAGTATAAAGTCCACCAGTGGCCAAGTGGATAAACCACCAAACACTTGTTGTTAGACCACATTTATAACTTTTGTTTTCACTAATCCTGACCTATTTAAGACATAGAAAATAGTCTCTATATGTTTACCAAATGCATATACTTTTTTTGGGAGGAATTGGAACAGTTTTGAAATGGAAAAAATTGTAAATCTGTGTTAAACATTGCAAAAGTCAACAAAACTTTACACAATTTATAATAATAATGATAAACAGTTGCTAAAATTCTGGTTACCAAATGGATTATTTAATTTGAATGTTTTCAGCAATGTCTTTGGTCATCTTTAGCTTATGGAATAAAGAGAATAGAATTGTTTTAAATTTAAAATGTACAGTACAAATTTAAATTAGGAAAAAACATAAACAAATAAATAAATACATAGATAAATAAAATAAAAACATATATAATATAAAAATTTTATATAGATATATGAATAAACTAGCTGTTAGTCGCAACTTTGCCCGTGCAGATCTTGCAAGCAAACACCATTTATATTCAGTATTTCAACAACTATAGTAATCATTATATAACACCTACTGCTGAGAATCAAATGAACTGTTTTCAATTTGATCAATTTTCTGGAACGTTTACAATCATTCTGTAATCAAACCAATATGCAATAACAAATTCTAATTTAAAATGGTTTGAACGTTTAACAAAAAATTCTTCCTAATCTGTTACTGGTGCATTCTCCTTCTATAAAATCGTAACCAAAAAAATAGCTCTTTACTAATGTTTTCAAACTCCAACGTCGGTTCTTCGGGTATTTTTGAATCTCTAATGGAAATGCAGCTTGTAAAACATATAGAAGAAGGAGAACGCACTGGTAACAGGTTAGGAAGAGTTTTTTGTTAATATTCTCCAGTGTTGAGATAAAGATGTGTGGTTTGAACATTTGGTTAAAAAATCGAAATATATAAAAATATTTATAACAATGTCTGAAATGTTATCAATTTAATACACCTAAGTACTCAATGAAGACTAAACGTAGTTGAAAAGAAAAAATCACATCTAAAATAGTACAATAGAAGCCATTCTTCAGGTTAAGCCTTAATGCTCTCCCTCTCCCCTGTGGGGGAATTTTGAAAAATTCCTTCTTAGTATGGTTTTCATGACATACCTACCCTAACTGTGTATCAAATTTCACTTCTAGGTTCAGCAGTTTGCTCTAGGCGATGATGAATCAGTCAGTCATTCAGGACAAATAATTTTATATATTTAGATGTACAAAGTGTCTTTAAAAAGACAGAAAGAGATTTATGCTAACTGAACTGAAAATAAAAATTACATTAAAAAAATAGGTGAAGGTAATTTACATTATAAAAATTTTGAAGAATACAAATAACATTTTTGTTTTCATAATCCGTCTTTTTACGGTCACCATTGACAATTCAAAATACATAATAGTTTATTAATGAGAAAACCTTTCATTTGAGGGTATGCCTCTGCAAAAACATGTAAATTTAAACTGTGAAAAGACAGATTACAGAGATAAATTTTATTTGTGTTCTTCAATATTTTTACAATGTCCAAATTTAGCTTTTAGCTTTTATACAGTTGATAAGGTGGGAGAAATCACACTTAGATACTAACCAAACCAATGCACCATCTAAGGTGTAAGCATCATGTTCGTTTATTGCTGTTAGCTTATTCACAAAGATGTGAATATGTAATCATTCTAAGAACCTGTGATTAAGTTTATTTTCTAAAATTAAAATAGGATCATTCCATAGGGTTTTCTTATCTGAATCCCATTACAGTAACTATTTAAGAATTTTTATTGACCTAGTAAAAACTGAAAATATATATAAGTTAAATGCAATATAACTTACTTTTTAATTTCTACAGAATTCAAGAATTTGTTTCAACCAGGAAACGGGAAGAAAAACTACCTACAAAAGTATCACAATTAAAATCATTAGGAGTAAGTTTTTTAATTAAAATTATTTTATATAAAATAAAAATTACCATATAGTTTTTTGTTCTAATAACAGAGTAAAATTTGAAATATTATTCAAAAGAAATTAAAAAGCTTTTTTTGAATAAATATGGATGATGTCAGAATACAACAATTTTTAATAATAACTGTATATAGTGGAACCTTGCTTAACAAGCACCTTGCATAATGAGTAAAGCAAACTGTAAGTGACTCACTTAATGAGTGACATTTTGCTTATCGAGTGACAAGGAGAGGGGAAGTCTCGGATTGTGTGCATACTCCATCAGTCTGTGTTTAGCACTCGTTCAGCTAGCATCTTAATGTCACTTGTGATCACATATTTTTCCAAACTTGTGTTCAGACACATTATGTGTAAACATCAACAACCATAGCCCATTATATAATAAACATGCTAAACGATATACCAAATTCTTGGGCTATGTAAAGGCTATAATTAAATATTAGAAATTAAATAATTTGACTAGAGGTTAGGCAGTTATGCTGCTATCTCGTATTAAATTTAATGACCAATTCCAAATTAAATTTTGATTTTTTTTTCCTGCAAATTAAATTTGCATTCCAGATTGGTTCAATCTGTGCTAGAAGAAAAGATGATGATGATTCACGCTCCTTAACAATGTATATTGTATAATTTTCTTTGAATAAACATTACACACAAAATATTTGAGTATTTTTTCGGCATGGAATGCACTATTGTATTTTATGAATGCATTATATGGGAAAAATTGTTTCACTTAATGAGTGTTTTGCATTACAAGTAAGATTCTGGAATGAATTATGTTCATTAAGTGTGGTTCCACTGTATTTGAAATAGCATTCATATGCATTTAAGATTTATAATTTAAAGTACTTATTATATTTAATTGTTTTGTATTTATGTAATTTAATTTTTTGATATAAAGATTATAACAATAATAATTATTTAATGCATACACTTTTAATTATTATTATAATTATTACATGAAAATCTTTTCTAATTACTTCTTTGCATCTGTCTGAATAATGTTTTGTGAGATCATAAGTGTTAAAAAATTTTTCTTTACTTTATTATGAACTAAGAATGTTGTTCATTCTTTTCATTTATTTATTAATAAATTTCTATTAATTCTTTGGAATATTCTCTCTCCTGAAAATCAACTTTCGTAAAACTTTCAAATTAACATTTACCTTATAAATCATTTCCTGAGTTGATAATCTTAAGGACAACAGCACAGCACAGCAAGTATGAAACATTTTTCCCAGCATATTACATAAAGCATGCTGATTCAAATCCAGTTCTTGCCCATAAAAATGGTAACTACATCAAATGGCATAAAATTCATTGCAAATGGACTGAATAGACTTTTATTTCATGCTTTATTGTGTTATTCATTTGTGTACAGTTTGTACCACTTTTACATTATACAGTACTATATTTCACTATATTGTCCTGAATAGCATATACCTGCTAAATTTGTTGACATTCTGATTGTTAGATCAAACACTAGAAAGCTCATTATAAAGTTTAATGATTATAGACACACAGTATACTTCTCTGAATAAAAACTAGCAAGAAAGTATTGCGTATTGATAAATATGCAAATGATAAATAAAAATATTACTTCCATCACAAGCAATCTTAAACATCTGTTATAGTTATAAAGTGGGATGATTATTCATTTTATTTTATTTTATAGAGTATAATAATGAAAAAGTTTAAATTATAATTTACAAAATTGCTAGACTATTATGGAAAAATAGTTTGCATATTAAATTTGTTGATTTAAATATTTTAATCACAAGAAATTAATAAATTATGAACTAAATATATATTTTATATTTAATTATTTAATCGTATCTTTTAATTAACAGCAAGCCCTTGTTACTGACCAAACTGAATATGGAAATGCTTCTACTAGTTTAATGAAAGAGTTGTCTACTGATACAGAAGCTGAAGTTTTTGTTGCTGAATATCAAGAAGAGGGATCAGAAAATTCTGAAAATAATGAAGTTAAAAGACCAGAAAAACTTAAAATGTTGGTTCAATCAGAAACGATTCTTCATCATTCCCAGTCGTTTGATAGTCAACATTCGGACATATCTTCGTGGAAAGAAAAGTCTCTATCATTTAGTGATATTACACTTACAGACAACGAATTTGAAATCACAGATACCAAGAACAAAAGTAAACGATTTTCCATTCCACGAGTAGCAAGTGCTCCTGTTTGCCTTTCCGATGGTTTAGAACAGTTTTTCTTGAAGACAGATTTCGATCATCATGAAAAAGGTATAAAACTAAAAATAGATGATCATTTCCACTTTATATTAAAAATTATTTTTTCACAATAAGTAGCATATCAAAAATAGTTTACTGAAATTGTAACATTGAAAACTTCTGTTTGCTCAGTGTATAGATTGCTAGAGATTGTCTGATTATGTTCATTAGTTCAACTCTCTGATGTTTTGTTTAACTTCAAAACCAACTTCACTGATTTTTTTATTACGAAGCTGTCTTGAGGCCAATATTTGCCTTATAAATTACTTTTTAACTTGGCAGTTTTAAGGTTAAAGTTTATTAAAGAATTGTCTTTAGTTTAGTCCAACTTAAAAAAATAGGCTAGAAAAAGATAATGTATACACTATAATGTAGTATATTTTTGTGTATTTAACCCATAGGTTATGTCTTTATAAAAGACAATTTGCAAGTTATCTGTTGATTACAAGTCTACCCAATGGCTTTTTATTTATCTAAACTTAAGAGTATTTTTAAAAATCATCATGAGGAATCTTTTACTTGCTGCATGTATTTGTCTACCATCATGTTTTTCTGGAAACCACTAGATATGTATGCATATGCCTACATAAGAGTCATTATTTAACTATTCAGATTAATTGGGTGGTACCAACCCCATTGGGTTGGTACCACCCACTGATGGGCGTTGAAGAGATCTAAGGAGTCTTTTTTGGTCCAAGGCAAATTTAGAGGGCGTTTAGAGATTTAGTACAACCAAGAAAGAATTTTATCAATAAAATTACTGCAATACTCCTTTTGGCAAATATTTATTTCTATCTGTTCTATTTTAATAGTTTTGTAAGTACTCATATTAATTCACTTCATGGATTAATATGAAAAATTGTAGAATTATGAAAAATACAGTAACACAAAAATAATTCTTATTTCTACACACAGACAGAAGAGAGATTATTTATTTAATTTTCAAGAATGAAATGTTAAATTTTTTTTAATCTCAATGCAAAATAAATAAAATTATTCACAAATAACATTTAATAAAGCAAAATTTACAGGTTTAAAACAAGTACTTTATTTTTCTTTAATACAACTTATGCAAATTTAAATAGACTACAATGTCAATGAACAAAAATAAATATTGATTACCATAATGATGTAAAGCATAATAACAAATTTGCATAAGCTAGAAAAAATTCTGTTAAAATTGAATAAAAGTATTTCCTTTAAATCTGTAAATTTTGGTTTATTTAATTTTATTTATTTATTCTGCATTAAGTAAAAGTGTTCAGGCACCCATTTGAAATGTTTATCTCAATTTTTGTCTGTGTTTAATCTTGATTGTTAATTTATTGATTGGTCCAGTATTCAAATTCTATTTTGATTACTCAAAGCTATATGTCGTCATCTGTATCTTTCATCATGGATTTTTGTGAGGTTTTTACATTTTAAACTAAATATTTCTGATGTCTCAACATTCTTTTTTCTTTGGTATCTTTGTTTTTATTATTCTTATTATCAGACTTTTTGGTTTGAATATACAGCAAAATTTTATTACACCATATTGAGTACACTACTTGAGAAAAATACATGCAAACTAGGCTATTCACTGACTTTGCTGCGATGAGTAGCATTCAGTAATTTTTTAAGTTCAGAATGTCAAAAGCTAAAGAATCACTGTTTGTTGACTTAAGAATCAGATTTAATGGCACTAGAAGTGGTCTAATCTACGAGGGCTGTTCGAAAAGTTCGCGGCCTTGCCTATATGCGGCGCTGCGATCAATTTAATTTTTGGCGGGAATAATTCAGCCATCCTTGCTAAAAATACGATACCAATTTCCGCTTGATTTGTCGTAAAGTTTTGCCACGACAGCTTAGCAGATAGTCAATGTGCACATGCTTTGTCAAAAATGGAGAAGACGGAGACTCGTGCGGTCATAAAATACCTGACGAAAAAAGGGTTGACCGCATCTCAAATCAAAGCTGACATGGATGAAGTTTTGGGAGAGTCTGCTCCTTCGTACACCACTGTGAAAAAATGGACAGCCCTTTTTAAATCTGGCAGAGAGAGTGTGAAACATGACCCTCGCAGCGGACGGCCGTCAACTGCTGTCACTGAAAAAAATATCGACAAAGTTTACGATTTGGTGTTAGCAGATCGCCGTTTGAAAACGCGTGAGATAGCTGAGACAACAGGCATCTCTGTCGACCGAGTGCACCACATCTAACCGAAAATTTGGGTATGACGAAGGTCTCAGCAAGTTGGGTGCCGCATCTGCTGACCGCTGAGCAAAGACGTGTTCGCACTTTGATGTCAAAGAAGTGTTTGGACTTCTACAAGAAAAACCCACGGGATTTCTTGCGTCGGTTTGTGACTACTGACGAAACGTGGATCCATTACTACACTCCTGAAACAAAAGAACAGTCGAAGCAATGGAAACACCCCAGTTCGCCACCACCAAAGAAGGCAAAAACAGTTCCATCAGCGGGGAAAGTGATGGCCTCGGTTTTTTGGGGATGCTAAAGGAATCATCTTTATTGACTACCTAGAAAGAGGAAAGACCATCAATGCTGTCTATTACTGTATACTTTTGGAAAAACTGAAGAAAGAAATCGAAGAGGCCACACTTGAAGAAGAAGGTTCTGTTTCACCACGATAATGCCAGAATCACTGAACAAAAAATAAACGAACTTAGCTTCCAATTAGTTCCACATTCACCGTACTCACCTGATTTGGCCCCCAGTGACTTCCACCTTTTTCCAAATTTAAAATAATACTTGGTTGGAAAGAGATTCCGCTCAAATGACAGTCATCTCTGAAGTAAACGAGTATTTTGCAAACCTTGACAAATCGACTTATTGTAATGGCATAAAAAAGCTAGAACATCGCTGGAATAAGTGCATTGCTAACAAAGGAGATTACATTGAAAAATAAAAAAAGTTTTAACATTATTTTGTTTGTTGTTCTATTTGAGGCCGCGAACTTTCCGAACAGCCCTCGTATTTTCCATTTGCAAAAACATATTCACTTATATATCCCATGTAAAATATTCCCTCCTGATTATTTTTTTTCTTATTCGTAATATAGTATATCTTTTCTAGATTTTAAATTGGCTTTCGAGGAATTTAATAAGTCTTGGGAAAGAAAATTTCAAGAAAGTAAGTGTACATTATCAGAATTATATTATTTAAATAATGAAAATATATATTATTTCATAGTAAATTTTCATTAGTGAATATTTATTAATCAAAATTTAATTATTCAAATAGCTTTTTAAAGTAAAATTCCAAGATAAAAGTTGGCAATTTTTTAAAATTATAATTTGAAAACACTATTGTAAATTTGTGCAGTTCATCATGTAAACCATATCTTTCAAGGGCTTACTGAAAGCATTATACCTACCTATATTGTGTCAAATATCCATTTTTTTTCTGCTTCTTTCATTATATTTTTGTTAACAGTTTAAGGCAGATGTAGTTAAAAATAAGTGAAACAGGAATAAGATTATCTTACTCACTTGGAAGTGATTTTTAGAAAATAATACAGTGGGTGATTGATTAATGAACAGTTCAGACTATGAACAAATCAGATAATGAACACTTTCGCAAAAGATTTTTATGTTCAGACAATGAACACCTCACAGAACAAACACAAGCAGAAGTGACGTAAAATAATGAATACCGATTGGTCTTCCCTTGTCTTCAGGCAACAATTCGAAACTTTTCGGAGTGCAGGAGACGTCAACATTGATGCTCAACCTGGTATATGCTGATCAGATAGTATTCCTCTAAACTTTGAAACTCTCCTTGTAATTCCAGCCTTTTATTTTTCTGACAGAAACGTTTCTTTTATAGTGTTTGCGAGACTGTTGGGCGGGCACTCGTTTTGCACCCGTTTTTATTTTCAAAAGGTGCAAGTATAATAGCAAAGGTTAGAGAGTGAGCAGAAGATATCTGATGTTACCAGGCTTGAACAGGTCTACAGTAGACCGCAGTTTAATCTTATCTAAGAAGGATACAGTATAATCAAAAAGATTCAAGCAGCTAAAGGAGTAACAAAAATCACATCTGAGAAATAAAGAACATTGAAGAGCTCTTCATAATGGAACCTGAAACTGATCTGATGACAAAAGAACACTAAGAACTCTTGAATGAAAAACACCAAGAAACTATGTGAGAATGTTTTCTTCTGAAAAACAGGTTTAATGTCGACATCTGCTATTAAAGACTTTTTTTTTGAAGATGTGGGAGAATGTCAGAACAATGGTCTTAGAATGGTATCCAAATCAGGTTGAGGCTTAGGGATCTCTACAGTTACAGTGCTATTAATTACTTCTGGAAAATCCTGAAGAAGAGAGAAAAGCAATCGACATTAGACAGATTCTTTAACCCTCACAAATAGAAAAACCATGACTAATAAAAATGCAAGACACTGTATATATGTATTTTTATTATTACACTAGCAGACCCCGCCACGCTTTGTTGTGGCTCAAAATGTATCTATTGTAAATGTATAACACTTCTCCCGTGGAGGGGGAATTTTTCGAAAAATCCCTTCTTAGTGTACATTCTCTTGACATACTCTATTAAAACTCAATCAAAAACTCAAAAAACTGCATCTAAAATAGTATAAATAGAAGCAGAGTTCTTTACAGTAAGCCTTAATCCTGACCATCCTAACTTTTTTTTTTCAAAAAGCTTTCATTTCATCTTTTCAAGCTGATATAAATGTATTATACTAGTAAGTTAGTCTATATTTTTAAAAAGATATACATTTGTACGTAGCCTGACTTTATTACAGAGAAGCAAGACTCCTTAAGCTTTTCTCCTGAATGCATATGAATATGTTATAGATCCTCCAATGTATATTATATTCATAATGTAAATTCATATTAACAATTTAAAATTGAGGGAATCACGTCTATGACCACATTTAATTCACACCTGTAGCACCCAAAATGTCTAGACAAGAATAAAATAGCAAAATCAAAATGGTCATTAATTTTAAAAATTTACTCACTTTTAACTTAAAGACTAGAATACAGGAAATCTTCCAGTTTATATATTCCCAGCTTGAAATTTATTTAAATGAGTATTTACTTGAGTGAAATTTTGATTACTTCTACATTACTTTTTCTCATTCTTTCATTCCCTACACTTAAAATTGTCAAATCCAATAATCCAGACTGTCCCATAGGCTTCTCAAATAATTTTTAATAATTCTTAACTTTGAGAATTTGAGACCTCTCTGGTGTGGCTATCATAATATCAGAAATAGTAATAGAGAAGTACATACATTGGGAAAATTTATAGATGTGATGTAATTTTTAATACCTAATAAATCAATTAGTTTTATGATATGTAAATGTTTTTATTTTGCCAAATAATACAGTTTAAAAAAATTAATTGTGTAAGGAATGAGTGACTTAAATCTTTACTATAAAAGGATACTAATTTGTTTCGTTTTTCCATAATGACTTTGTTAGATAATGATTACAGATTTAAAACATTGATAGAAGTACAGAATTACTATGAAAAACTAATCGTACAGGGACACAATTGATTGGTTATGTAGACTTTATTACATAAAAAGGAAATGCATTTTGAGCTGTTTGTCTCCTCTTCATTTTTTATTATACATATCTGATAAAACTACATAATAAATTATGGTATAATTAACAACACAACTGTTTATTATCATACACATGTAAAATTTACAAAAAAATTAATTACCTGAAATGATATACAGTATTACTAACAGTTTGAGTAACAAAATTTTTAAAATTTGGTCACTATTAAATATCATTTCATTTCATGTAATTAATATCATTTCATGTAATTAATTTTTTTGTGGGGTTTTACATATGTGTAGGATAATAAATAGTTGTTAATTTTACTGTAATTTTCTGTTGTTTCATCAGTTATGTATATTAAGGACTGAAGAGGGGTGAATAGTCCAAAGTATATTTCCTTTTTATTAAATAAAGTCTACATTACCAATCAACAGTATTCCATAGTAATTCTGTGCATACTTCCAAAAAACTAAGTAGAGAGAATAAGAAGGAATCAATTATTAAATGTTATTTTTATAAAAAGAATAACAAAGTGATAATTTAATTGTTGGTGAATGAAAATATTTTTCTTGAAATAACCAATTTAAAACTTTTTGAAAAGTTTCATAATTTTATCTTAAATTTTTAGGTAGCAAGTCTTCCCAAGCTAATGACTCACTTGGAAACTCTGCTGATTTTGATTCTGAAATTGTTGATAGAAAACAAGATAAAGAAATGAGTAAGTTAAAATGAACAAAATATTATCTCTGTTATTGATCTCTTATTTAATGAAATGTTATAATATTTTTTAATTTATAATCTGTTCAGTCAAATATACAGCTATCCCTTGGTTAACATGATTAATCAATCCCTCAATCCTATCATGTGTATCAAAATTGCACTAACCAAATATGGTATCTACATTAAGTAAAGACAGCTGGTAAAGCCACATAAATTAAAACTTCTGTTGCATGTATAAGAGATTGCCGCAATTAATTTTGCATGTTGATCGAATCCTGCATTAACCTGTACTTACCAAGCATCTTCCGCTGTTGTATTGATTGTTTCTCATTTCCAATACTCCATTAGAGCTACTCTTGCTTCTAGATTTCTTTCTTTTCTTAGCTAAGGAATTTGATCCAACAATTTATTCAAATATATTTTACTTTTATCTATATTTGAAAAGCTTGTTCTAAGATTAAAAGATGATAAGTAGTTCAAATTTGGATTTCTTTCTGCTTGCCATTAATGGAAAAAATTTGAGGTTAATGATAATTTCTAATTGGAAAAACGGTATTCATCTTTATTTTCAGTGACATTTTCAAAAACTTTTTGTGATTTTCAGTAACCATTTTTAGATTCTTCCTTTTAGATGCAAGTTTTGGCTAATTAACATTACAAAATCTAAAACAATAAAAATGTTTTTTTTTATTTATTAGAACATTCTAGAATTATTTTTTGCATTTGATTTTCTGCTTCTTTAAAAATTGCAATTAAAGAAGTTGCTTCTTGACTAATAGTGAACAACTTTTATACACTAAATAAAACATTAGGAAAAAGTTTACTGTAAACTAATTTGCAAATGAAGAAATGTCAAATTGACTATATATTTCATTCTCCAACATTTTAAAAGTGGATTACCACCAAAGACGTGAAGAGTGTCAAGTAGAAAAGCAAAAGTTTAATGAAAGTCAAATTGGAAGGATTGAAGAAGCTCATTGAATACAGCAAAAAGGTTTAATTCAATCTGTAGTCCTGAAACTGAAAATTTCATACAGTTGGCTCCATGAGTATTTAAAAATGAGAACATGTTAAATATCAAAAGAAGCAGGCAATTCTGGACAGAATAGACATATTCACTAACCCAGGCATGGCCAACATACGGCTCACGGGCCAGATCCGGCCCGTCTAATGAATTTATGTGGCCCGTGATCAAACTTTCAAAATAGCTCAATGAAAACTTCTGACGCCTAAAAAAAAAAAGAGGTTAACAACTCACCATGCGTTTAGAGTTAACCCTCCATTACAAATCTCAAGTATAGCATAGAGTGTTGATAAAGCATGATAATGTGAGAAATGTATCTGTAATCTCTATCTACAATTTAGTCTCTACGGGGTGACACCACAATGAGATCTCGCACCATCTGAAAATCTTTCTAGGACAACTCTGGTTCGGCCCGTGGAAAAAGTTTTCTTTCCAATCCTGCCTGGGGGCAAAAATTGTTGGCCACCCCTGCACTAACCTATTACTAACCTATTACAAGATTTGATTAAATTTTCAATATATTATTCTGGTAAAACATACATAACTACTACATTTTTAATGTAAACATCATTTTACAAATGTATTCTGACAGAGAATGGGTTTTGCAATCTTCTAACTAATCTTAAAACTAATCATTTATATGAAAATGGAGTTTTAGAATTAAGAGGATATTATAGCTGAAACATTTGCACAATTTTTTTCTATTATGGATTCAATAAAGTAGTTACTATTTATATAATTTGAGTTTATAAAGCATTTTATTTCCTAACTTATATAAATTCTTAAACAAAGGAGAAGAGTATATATTTCAATAACAATGTAATCATTATTCAGAAAGATTGGACTACTATTATATTTATTTTCAAATTATTTATATATAAAAATAAATGTTTATGAAAATTGTAGTGAAAACTTTCTACGAACAATAAATATTTAAAGTTTGCTTAAAAAAAGGAAAAAAGATTCACCATATTGCTTCAATTTTATGATGCTATAGATTCAAAAAAGCACTATGATTCTGAAATGAATTTTTAAGATTTTAATCAGTTGTTCAGTAATGAGTTAGAGGAGCAATACAAATATCCTAAAACAGGTAATGTTTGTCATTCCATACTTGTTTGCATCTACAATAATGAGTATGGAATGCACCTTTAATATTGGTTCAAATAACTATCTTGACATCAATTGGCAATCAAAATGTAATAAACATGCTGAATGATTATTTTGAGTGGTTATCTATTATAGGTTTTTGTAACAGTTACTAATATTCTTTTAATAACAAATTACAATTATTTCTTTAATAAAATATTTTCATTTTTTTTAGCAGTTATAGAAAATGAATTAGTGAACACTACTAAAATTCTGAGTAGAGGTCATGAACGATCTCAATCTGATGGTGCAGAAAAGATCTACGATATAAGGAACGCAAAAATATTGTCAAGAAACAAAAGTAGTATATTGTCTTATTTTTTTTAATATTTGTTTCATTTTAGAATTGATTGATTATTATATTAAAATATTCTAGTTCACATGGAAGAAGAAACTTCCAATAAGCCAGAGAAGAAAGAAAGAGGTACGGTCAAAACTATTATTAGTCAGTTGTTATCGAGCACTGCGATCACACCAATCCAGAGTCCATTTCCGTTAACAGAGCATCTTTTGTTAGTACAGTCTGATAAGGTAAATAATTTTAATTCAAAATATTAAGATTTTAAGTAAATCCTAAAATAAATCCTTATTTTTAGATTCCAATAATTGTATATGAAGAAAAACCCAGTTCAATTATAGCCTATACTTTAGCTTCTACAGATTATGAACAGCAACTACAAGAATTAAAAATTGGATTGACAACATTTAACGCAACCCAGAGAGAAAGTAGAAATTCTAGGTTTGTTATGTCAAACTAATTAAATATAAATACAGTGTTTAGCATAACTTTGAATTTATTCTTCTCTTCTAGTGTTACATGACAATAATTTAGTTTATAGATTTATTTATATTAAAACTCTAAAGATTTTTAAAATATTAATATACAGAATTTTTTACTTCTTGTTTTATTAAAGGATTTTTTTGTCAACATAATTGGTTGATGAAAAAAATAATTTATAGTTTTAAAAATCTATGTAATAAACAGTAGTGTATTGCTACCAAAATAGTTACCGATATACTACTTTCTAACCTACAAGTAGACATTTAATTAGAAAGAAAAACAGTTTTACAGTTTGCTTTATCATTATTTATTTATATATTAAACTTAAAGTGCATAAATTAAAATTAATACTAAATTAATATAAAAAAATTTTTTTTTTTCTGTAAACCTTACAAGTAAGTTTGATAACTTTAATAGAGCATTTCTAACATTCAAATGTTTTCAATGACGATGACTGTATTTGTTTAATTTATTGTTACAGATGCATTAAACTAATAAAATCTTTGTTATTGAAAACCTTTAAATGTTAGAAGTGCTGTATCTAAATTCTCCAACTTATTTGTATGGTTTACAGAGAAAAGAAAGAATTTCAGCACCCCTTAGCCACATAATATTAAGAAGTTGTCAATTTGCTAAAGAAATTCTCAAACAAGATTGATATGTATTCTTGTGTTATCTTGTGTTCTTCCACTATGGTGCTGTAGCAGAACAGTGAGAACAATAAGAATGACAGCCTAAGCACCAGCCAGCATGTGATGAGTGACTATCATTTCTTATGGTTATATTCAATGCTAGTTTATGGCCTATGGAGTGCACAATTCATATGGATATCAGCAATAAAAAGCACAAAAGAAAGATAGGCACTTTGAATTTTTTCCACAATTTCCAAAGTACATATGGGTTGACTGAAAAGTATCTGACATACAGAGACTAAAAAGATGCAAGTGAAAAGGTGTTATTCTTCAAAACAAAATCCTTACATTGAATTTAGACTATATTTAGCCACAGGAAGCTTTGCAACACATTTAAGAAAATAAATTAATGGAATACTTTTCAAATTATTTCTAATTACATTTCCTGAAGAATCTTGTTGGCAATATCTTTGACCATTACAAGTAACAAAAGAAGTTTTTGTGATTGAAAATTATCAAAATTAATGTAAGATCAATTGACTAGCCAAGAGAGATTTTTTTCTAGCTTTCAGTGTTTATTGCTTGTTCTTAACAAAGAAAGAAGGACCCTTTTTTAAATATTTTTTACCATTATATCTAGAATATTCATATAAATTACTCGATTCAAGTACAGTTAATATTTATTATATTATACATGGCAATTTATTTTCTCCCATACAATTAACTATTGATCTGCACTTCTCAACATTGCTTATAAATAACTACTATTTAATAGTAAAAGAATGAACTTAACAAAATGGGAGATCAGAAGCTTAATAATTAGTAAAATAATTCTAGTTTCTCTGACAAATGTTTTGACCCCCTATTGTCATGGAAATGATGCTTTGGACAATTTCTAAACTATTTAGTGCTTGACGTGCTTAATGCATTCAAACTACGACTGCTGCAGAAAAGTCAACATATCCCAAAAACCCAAATAACAGTTTGGACTGAACTACATAATTCAAAATAATAACAGGAATAAAACTGCATGAAAATTTGTTTTGAACTGTCAGTAAATTGTGAGTGAAATATGTGTTATTTTCACTGTTCAATTTTTTATTTTTCTCTGCTATGAAACTGAAACCTATGAGTGCCATTGAAAATTGTTCCAAATGCAACAGTTAACATGCATGCCATGAGATCTAGAATCTTTGAAAATGTTAAATGGTTAATTAATTTGATTACATCTTTAGTTGAAAATTATTTTTATTTATAGATTATTGAAATAACATTTTCTAATTTCAATTATTAATTATTAGTTAGTAAGTTATTAATTAAATTTTCAAAGTTTATAAATTCTGAATGCTTCTTATTAATTTGTATATTTTTAGTCCTTCGGTAAAACGTCGACATCAATCTAAAGGTAATGATAATGGAAGTAACTCTTCCGAAGTTCAGTCAGTTTCTGGTGAAATTTCTCCTAGTAAGTACTTTATTGATTAATTAAAAGAATTAATCATAATAACAGCAGAAATATTGTTTTTTTTTATTATTTTTTAATGTTCTAAACATTTTATTATTTTCTTTAAGTTTAAGTACATCATTTCGGAAAATATAAAATCAAAATGTATCTAATGATATAAAAATGCAAAACTATACTAAACTCCAAAATTTATAAAATGTAAAAACTGAGGAATGCTTTAGTTTTAAATATTGAAAAATGTTATTCAGTACATATGAATTTATATGTACTAAAATTTATATGAAAAAAAAGGGTTGTTTTTCAGATATAATTACTTTTATATTTGTAATTTAGAAAACTGTTTGTTTCTTTTGAATTAATACAGTAATACCTCGACTTACGCTAATCCGGAGTTACGCGATTTTCAAATCTCGTCGATTCATCTTTTGTTTGAGCGCCACGCAACTCTTGATTACTCACTCCCCCATACTATTGTTCAGCTTACATGTTCGGATGTGTCGCGCGGAATCGACACAGCTACAATTTATTTTGTGTTATTTATTTCTGTGTTTGTTATATCTACGGAGACTTGAGAGAGACTATGTGGTGATTTCTTGTAACCATAAACGAATCAAAAGACGAAATAAAATTAACGAGAATATTTATTAGCTTACATACATCCGACTTGGATTTTCCATAAATTGCGAAATTATACCCCGACTTACGCGGTTATCGCTCAGTCCCACCTATCGCGTAAGTTTGGGGTATTACTGTACATGTTTAAAAATTAAAACTCGGAGAATTCTTATTTATATGAAATATTTAAAATGTTTTATTAAAGTAAACACTTTCCCATTAATTTTGAAATGTTTTACGAGCATCTTCAGCCCTATGTTAAACAATAAAATGATTTTATTGCATAATACTAAAATCTGTTACAGTATCTTATCACTGAATATGGAACTGAAGATAAGATGCCTCAAAATGCTTCAAAGTTAATAAAAGATAGCTTACTGAATAGAGATGCTATGTTTTATTTTTTAGTTTTTCAGAGAAAAATATAGAGCTGTTGAACAATATAGAAGAAATTCATAAATTTTGAACTTTTTTGAAAATTCAAATTTAATTTAAAGTTTCAAAATAAAGTTGAACATGAATGTGTTGCCACTTTTAGAAACATCATTAAAGGAAATATTTTTGGTATTCTTTACATTTGTCAAAGATCTTGCAACTCTATATAAAGTGTTAAATTTATTATCTCTAATGAATTACAGTCGACCCCCCTATAATTACGGTCCCTATAATTACGATTCCTATAAAACTACGAAAAAATATACGTATTTTGGAAATGTTGAGTCGGATTAGTGTAGAATCGATTAATTTTATGGAAGAAAACCTTTCAATCAGCCGTAGTCCGTAAACTTGACACGTGTCGGGCTGTGATTGGAACGACTTGTAAGAAATCGGATTCCTAATAAATTGGAACGTATCTATATCTTATAGGGGGGTCGACTGTATATAAAAGACTACAGAAGTAGAATATAGTAGAAGGATTGCTTTACTGGAGCATAAAACGTGGAAATAATTTAAAATCTAGCACTTCTGGATGTTCATCCACTGTCGTTAAACACTTAGAACACTATTATTTTGGAAATGCATGGATGCCATTAACATGGTAATGCAAGTGAACAATTAAACTTGTTACCATGGTAAGTGTTTTGAGTATTTCCGAAATAACAATGTTCTGATGTCGGATGAATGTCCAGAAACACTTGATTTTTATTTATTTGTGAGTTTCAATACTCCAGTAAAATCGGTGTTTTTTGTTATTTTAATACAGTTTAACCCAATTATAACGTCATCAGATGTAACGACAACCCTAATATAACGTCAATTTTTTATTGGTTCCACAATTTTACTATACTAGATAATTGTAATGACATAAAACCCTGTTTTAACGTCATATTTAAAGCGCACTCAAATTTACAAAATTAGATTACAAATTTTATTTAACAAAGAAAATACTAAGTATTCAGTCCCTAGGGTCAGTCCACTTCCTAGAATGATTATGGGTGGTACTCTCACCACTTGACTTCAGTGGGGTGAGATTTGCCACCACTTTAAACGATGTGACAATTGGTTAGTCTGTATAGTTACTTGTGTTGTAGTTTAGCATCAAATCAGGTGAAATGGCTAGCTTAAAAAGGAAACCTTTAACGTTAGACTGCATTGGAAATAATGAACAAAGTGTATGATTTAGAAAATGACATTGCAGGCATTTTTCACCTAAAAATTGTTTATCAGTCTAAAATAACTGACTTTTTAAAGTGAATATTATTGTTGTTTTTTTAATTGGCAACCTTTTGTTGCCTTTTAATTCGAGATTATTCTCAAAACCGGAAGTGCTGCCATTATCAAAACTTAAGACAAATAGAAATTTCTTATAAAAGGTATTTTTTGAAATTTTTAATTACATCGATGTAAACTTAGACATAATAATGTAAATAAAGTTGATTTAAACATTTAGTTTGCACTTTTATACATACGATAATAAATTATTATTACTGTAATAGATACAGTATACTCTATTACCATTAAGAAATAATTTTACAGTAATACATACAATGTTAAATTAGAATGGATTTTATAATAGATTCTTAAACACACTTGGTACATTTTATGGGACTGAAGTTATGACCCCACAGATAATGACACTCAGTTATATTGTCAAAAAATTGCCAGTCCCATGTATGACGTTATAATCAGGTTAAACTGTAATTACAAATTTTAATTTTGTCTATAGTCAAATTCTCTCTGATGAATACAAAGTATTTGGACAAATAGAACAATATTTTAATGGTGCTTCTTGAAGTGGAAATGTACTGTCATTTATTTATTAAAAGAAACTTTAATAAAGAGTGGAAAATATTAAAAAACTGATACCATTATAATAGTGAAGCAAATAAACTGATAAATTTAAAATTACCAAAATTATTTGATTAGAAAATATTTTTACCTCGGTTTAGGCCAGTGGTCGGCAACCTATGTACATTGGAATGCCACATAATAATTTTTTTCAAGTACTGGGCACTTCATATGTCACCAAAAAAAATTACAATATTTAAACATTAGTGTGTGAATTTTTTTCAATTAAATGATTTCTATATGGATTTATAATATATTTATTTCATCACTGAGAATGTTTGCTCACAGTAGTATGTACCAAAAACAGTGAAGAGCAAATGCAACTTTTTTCATACATGAAAGTCTCTCTGGAAGTTCATTGCACATTTTAGTTATTATATCAATATTTTAATTTATATCTTATAAATTGTATTATTAAAAATATTTTTAATAAGTTATTTTTCATTTAAGTACTGAAAAAGTTTCAATAATTGTCATTTTCTAGTCCAGGGGCGGCGAACCTTTTTGAGTCCGTGTGCCATATATCAAACATGATTATCTTTAAAAATGTTTGTGTACTGAAGTTTTAGACTTTGATTAACGATATTCAATTCGTTATTCGATATTCGTATCAATTCTGAAACGAATATGCCTTAATTAGAATAAGTTTAAAGAAGCTGATTGGAAAATGGATGATAAACCAAAAGAATGATTAAAAAAGAAAGGTGATAAACTGAAATTGCATGTTATTTTACGTGTCAGATCATTTTTCTAATGTGCCACAGGTTTGCCATTCCTGCCCTAGACCATGCCACCAAAAAATCTTCCACATACCACAGATTGTTGACCACTGGTTTAGACTATCTTCAAATAAAAGAAAGTATTCTTGTAGCTTTGATATAAATGAATTTCTACACTATAGAGTTTTAAAAATGTTGAAAATAAATAAAACTGTTAAAAACAGTTTAGTTTTGATTTTGTTAGTAAAATGGTAAAAAATAATGATGTTGTGCATAAATAAGGTAAGCAATTTCACAATCAAGCTACTTCAGGACTATGCTTTTAATTGCATATAATTGTTTTTAGTTGTCAAAATTCATTTTATAGCAACAAAAAGAGCATCGAGCTTTTAGTTTGAATGATAGTTATCGCATTACATATTTTAACTTTGAAGGTTCTCTGAAATTATGACATTACGTAGGTAGGGGATAAATACCAGAAACTTAGCTGCTTTTGAGAAACAAATTCAAAATAGAAATATTTAATAATAGCAATTAAAGCATGAATTTGAATGTACAGAAAACAAATAGGAAAGGTACATACGAGGTCTGTTCAAAAAGTTCTCAAACTTTTTGAATAGTGCGCCTTCAGTTGGTTATTTTTTAATCCGCTTGGAGGCGTTGTGTCTGTGGAAACCTCTCAAGTAACCTTTTTCAACCCATATGTTGTTATTTTGTTTTGGTGATTAGTTACAGCCATTTATGTGAAGGAGTGTTCGTGGGGTGAAGCAAATAATCAGAACCGCAGAAATGAGCTCTTTGAAGGAGCAGCATTATCCTGTAAAATTGTGTGAAACTCTGGAAATTCTTCATGGAAACTTTTGAGTTGATTACCAAAGCTTATGGTGAGGATGCTATGAAATGTGCTACATGTTATGAGTGGTTTACCCGGTTCAGAAAGAGATGGCAATCAGTGGAAGACAATGAGCATTCCGGATGACCATCAACATTGACTGATGACTCCCACATTGAGAAAGTGAATGATCTTGTTTGTGCAAATTGATGTTTGACTGTCAGGTAACTTGCAGAAGAGTGTGGCATCTCAATTGGTTCGTACTATGAAATTCTGACTTGAAATATTGAGAATGCATCAAGTTGCCACCAAATTCTGCCTCATCTAATGACAGCAGACCAGAAACGTCATCAAGTTCAAGTCTGTCAGGAACTGTTTGATTGAGCTGAAGAGGATGAAACCTTCTTGTCCAGGATTATACCATGTGATGAGTCATGGGTTTATGGATATGACATTGACACAAAAGTGCAATTTTCACAATGGGTGGGTGAAACATCCCCCACCCCAAAAAAGCTTGACAAGTTTACTCAAATGTTAAGGTGGTAATAATGTTTTTTCAATGCATAGGAGGTTGTGCATTACAAATACCTACCTACAGGCCAGAAGTCAACACTAAGTACTTACCTGGGGGTTATGAAACGCCTAAGAAACAGAATCAGGTGAAAAATGTCCAAACTTTGGAGGAGTAGCGAGTGGTTTTTTTTCACCATGACAATGCCCAACTCATTTGTCCCTCAGAACTCATGAGTTTTTGGCCAAAAACAAGACTGCTGTGCTTCCCCACCCACCCTACTCCACTCTTGATCTGGCCCCATGCGACTTTTTCCTGTTTTCCAAACCAAAAAACCCACTCAAAGGAAAAATATTTGCTACCATTCCAGAGATAGAGAGAAAAATTCAACGAAGGAGCTTATGAGCATTTTGAAAGAAGTGTTCCAGGACTTTCAAAAAATGAAAACACTGTTGGGATAAGTGTATATGTTGGGGAGGAGACTACTTCGAAGGGGACCAATAAAATGTAAGTGAAGTAATTTTTTTGTAATAAAGTTTGGGAACTTTTTGAACAGACCTCATATATAAGTGTATTTGGTAGTTTCAGTAAAAGTTGCAATGGTAGATAAATGCAAATATATTCTATTTGCATCATACAAAGGATTTTTCCTATTTTCTAAAGATGCTCTTAGTGATTTCAGACAAAAGAAAAGCTGTTTGATAAATTTATGAAAGCAATTTAAAATTAGAATATAATCTACCCATTACATAATTTCCACTTTCAACTTTTCCTTTTAAACACAGATAACACAGTTCATCCATAAAAAATTACAGTAATATTTTTCACAATTTTTTTAATTCTAAGAGTAACTTAAAATTCTTAAACATTTTATTTTTCTTAAATTTAAAAGTGGCATGATATGATTCTTCCTGTATCTCTTTGTAATTAGATTATACTAAAAGAGCAGGAATGCTTTCATTCTTTCGTGGGAATGAAAGAGCAACATCAAAACAGAGAATGGCAAGTACTGGTCCTTTGGGTTTTGATACTGTTCAATATTCTGTAGGTAAAATGGAAAGAGAGAATTTTGAAGGGGAAGAAGGTATTTCTTACTTGTCTTTGTAATAAATATTAAAGATATTTGTAGAAATGAATTAGTAAACATTGTCAATATTAGGAAAAAATAATTTTAATATTTTAATTTGAATACTCTTATATAGTTTATAAAGTACATGATATCTGAAAAGTTTTGTTACGTCTTCACAAATGCTATTTCGGTATTTTATATTTATGATATGAAATAAACAATACATCACGCTGCAAAAAATTATGTATAAATATAATTCATTATTTTCTACATATTATAATGAAATAAATTAATCTTTTTTCATGCCTAATTATAAATTTTTCAGGACATATAAAGTAAATAATTTTCATATTTAAAAAAATTAGAACAAAAAACAGTGTCCTTACTAATAAAAATAGATATAAATAATTCATGCATTTGCTTATTAAAAGGAATATTACATAATTAAAATATAATTACAATGCTGGAAGAGCATTTAATAGATTTAACAGAACTTTCAGGATGCCCTATGCTATCATATTTTATTAAATATATACATATATATTTTTAACAGTTGATTTTTCAGATTTTGCTTTCTGTAATAATCAAGAAGGAGAGAAAATAAGCAGTAAAATGGGAACTAAGACGCCAAATTTTCACATCGAAGTTCAGTTCAGCGAAACGAACGCTAGATTTTATTGCCGGGTGTATTTTGCCGAACAGTTTAGAAAACTGAGACGTTTAATATTTTCCGAAAGCGAAGATCGATACATACGCTCGCTCTCCAGATGCGTCCCATGGATTGCTAGAGGAGGAAAATCTGGCTCTTCATTTTGCAAGACATACGGTTAAGTATTTATTTAATTATTTGTAATTATTTACGAGAAACAAAATGACTCATTTGCAGAATTTGAAGTGATATTTAGTTCTGTATGCAAATATATAGTTATTGTATTAGTACTCAAAAATTATTAACTGTTCAAAAATATTTGACCTTCTTCTTGTTAAATTATTCAAAATTTAATAATAATAATAATTAAATTGAATTATTACATTATGAAAGCTTTGTATATTATCAGACTATACATAAAATATTAAATAGCCCGATAGTATATTTTAAAAATCTTCCACATTTATTATAATTTCAAAAATAAAATTTGTATAAATTTTCCATAAACAAAATGAACATATAATGATAAAATATGAAGTTTGTTCTAATTAAAAGTTTATTTTTCAGATGATCGATTTATTTTGAAGCAAATGTCGAGATTAGAAATACAATCATTTTTAGATTTTGCACCTCATTATTTTCAATATATAAACAGAGCATGCAGTGAACAGGTTTGACTCCTCTTTTTTTTTTTTGTAGAATTGCATTCTACATTTTTGTTGCATTTGAATTAACAATTGAAATTCTTTTCTACAGAAACCGACTGTACTGGCTAAAATTGTCGGAGTCTATCGTATCGGTTATAAAAATACATCCACTAACGCTCAATCAAAACTGGATCTTTTGGTAATGGAAAATTTATTTTACGGGCGTAATATCACGCAGAAATTTGATTTAAAAGGCTCCGTAAGAAACAGAATGGTCGATACTAATAGCCAGGAAGAAGATATTGTTCTTTTAGATGAAAATCTGTTAAAAAGTATGTGTAAAATTTTAATTTCTGTTTTTGTTTTATCGATTATAAATTCTTATGTTCTTCCATAGTGACTTGCGACTGTCCGTTATACATCAGACCGCATTCAAAGACCGTTTTAACTCTTGCCATCAATAACGATTCGCAGTTTCTTTTTAATCAGTCAGTAATGGATTATTCGTTGCTAGTCGGTCTCGATGACGAGAAAAAAGAATTAGTTGTTGGAATAATCGGTAAGCAATTTACAATAATAACTTGTTATTGAATATCTATATTTTTATATATATATACATTATGACATTAAGAATAAAAGTATGATTCTGTTTTGAGAATTCGTGTTTTCAAAACAAAAAGTTCTAATTACTCAATTATTAAACAAACTTTTTAAATCAAAATTAGTCTTGATTACAATTTTATGCATTTATGTAATCTTATCAGTAAAATATTAAGATGAGTTGGTAACAAAATGTAAAGTTGTTGTAGCTGGTACAGAATGTGGTAGCAAGGTAAAGAAAGTAATAGAAAGTAACTGCTTGATTGGAACAGAGTTTAATGTACAGTACTCTTCTTATATATGGAAAGATTTAAGTACCATCTGGAATGTTCCTAGGAGAGTGTAAAATACTCTTGCAAACAAAAGCTTTTTATTAAATCCCAAACTGTAGTTTTGAAGCTAGAAACTTAATAAAAGTTTTCTTCTATTTCCACCTGAAAAGAGATACTTATATTTGCTTACCATACTTAAGATTTGATTCCAATGTTGTTTTCTAACCTCTAAAGAAATAACAACATCTGGACAGTGCAGTTTATTTAAAATCAAATGTTTTCAGTCTGTTTGATAGGCCATGTTCATTGAAAGAGAGTCTACTATCAAATAGACTAAAAACCTTAGTTTTTAAATAAACTCCACGCTTTGGGGCATAAGTATGCTTTGAATATGACAACACAATAGTAAAAAAATCAACTTAGCAAGGTTTAGATTTTGTTTGTTTCTTTTGACAGTTCTCACACTAAATAACACTTCCTACTAGCAGTAATTACTCTCCTTTTGTGAAATTTATTGATAAATAGCTACAATCGACATATACAGTTATATTAGATAGTAAAGCCTAATTTATTTTACATTCAATATAATTAGGTAGTCCAGAAAATATGGCCATTTGGAGAAGTAGCACTCTCCTAAAGTTTACGAAAAATGCAAATAGCCCTTACCCTAGTATAGTAGTATGCAGCCATCCAATCCATAAATTATAATACATCATATATATCTAGATATCTAGTCTGTGAAAGACTGTCATAGGAAGAAAGATGTAGTATATTGTTAATTTTTCCTCTTAGCATATAGACAAGGAATGGATTGCTTAGTTATTATATAATGCCATTTCGGGCACTGGCAATGCATTAATATACTTAGACGAATTGTTATTTCGTGGACCGGTGGATAACGAGATAATTGTTATTAGTCTATAATTAATTATCTTTTGTGCGAAAGATAGCAGGTGTTTAGTAATGCAGTGGTAAAATAATTAGAGATTCCAGTTTACGGCGAAACCTGCTAATGTGATCACCGAAGGGGCTGGCTCAAAGGATCACCTTACACAGATGATTACATTAGCGAGTTTCACTGTACTTTCAATTTATTCCTCTTCCCAGCAGAGACATAATATCTTTTAAAATTTAGTATCGATTGGGAAATAGGATCTTCTCTATCCATAAACCGTGAGTACAGTAGACCCCCCCCTATAACACTAGATAATTCCGTGTTATATGAATTCCATGTTGTACGAGTCACTTAGATTTTACAAATATATGAGCCATTCACAGCCAAGCACACGTATTTGTAAAATCTAAGTGACTCGTACAACACGGAATTATCTACAGTGTTATAGGAGAGTCTACTGTAATGCGTTTCGTCAAAATTGGCGACTTAAGCTTAAATCGTACGGGAAACTGCGCTAAAGAACTCTTTCTTTAGCGCAGTTTCCCGTACGATTTTCCGCAATAACGCTGGCCGTTTATAGAAAAACAAGTTTCTCTTTTACCACACGGAGAAAGCTATATTAAATGATTTATTTGGTTTAGATTACATTAGGACTTTCACCTGGGATAAGAAATTAGAAATGGTGGTGAAATCGTCAGGGATTTTAGGAGGACACGGAAAGATGCCAACTGTCGTCTCGCCGGAATTATACCGAATGAGGTTTTGCGAAGCCATGGATCGCTATTTCCTCTGGGTACCCGATAGATGGAGTGGATTGGGTCAGAGCGTCGATTGTTAGCCTATGTCAGCTGCGGTTCTCTTCGATCCAAGGATTAATTAAAGTTTGTATATTTGTAAATAAGATATATTTAGATCTTGGAAAAGGTATAAATATCAATGGGAAAGAATATATTTTTTTCTTTTATTTTTAATAACGATAAATATTCATCACAATTTCTACGCACTTTAATATATATATATATATATACAGTATATATTAATCTGTAGTTATATCTTATTTCCCAGACTGTATAAAAATGATAATGTAATTAGTAAACAATCCGAGATAAATTATTTGTAAATTCGAAAATTATGTAAATATTTTTATATCATACGGCCGAACGAATACGTCTTTTTTCTCCCGATAAAACGAAGAATCGTTATTTTGTGGTAAATAAAAGCATCAAAACGTTTTGTGATGTAAACTTTCGTAACTCCCGGAAAGAATGTAACCGTTACGACGTTCTTTTATGTTATTAAAATTTATCTCCTTTACCTACGATGCGTTTGAATTAAAGAAGGAAACGTCATTACGTCTTCCATTTAACGGGAAAAACTTACGAAAGCGCAAGATTTCGGTCCGAAATTTTCGGAATAAACCATCGAAAATATGTCAACCGGACGAAAATGGCGCGATGAGAATAAATATCTGGTCGTTGGCATCGGACTACCGCGGTAAAACGAAGTTGGAAACGTTGGGAATTGCACAAATTAGGAAAAGTTGGTCCGGTAAAACGGAATTGGACCGGAGACTCTGTCTTGGAATAATTACGTAAAATAGAAATGAATTGCATGAAGGTAAGACAATGTGGAAGAATGAAGGCGTGGGCTCGGAATAAGTTAAATGCATTTCTAAACATTCTTAATTTTACTCTCCCGGCTGTTATACGGTGAAACCTGTCTATAGCGAAAACCTGTCACAAACGGAAAATTTCTCCGGTCTCTTGAATTTTTTTCAAAAAGTAATGTAAATTAATCCGTACATAGCGGAACCCGTCCAACGTGGAAACGGAAAGGGAAATCGGTATCTTTATCCGATTTACCACAAATTTAACAAGAAGCTTACAAGCCTAGCACGCATAAATCATAGTCAAAAAATACACATACCCAATACTGACTAGCAAAATACACGACTACCGTGTTACAGTAATTTTATTGAGATTTGAACGGAAAGTTTTTGCCTATTTTTATTAACGGCTGTTTTTACTTAACATAACTATCTGATGTAATTATAAGTTGTAGGGCCCACCAGTGGCCGAGCTGTCTTCGTACCCTGAACACTGGCAGTTTGGTCGTGGGCTCGCTCCTCGCTCGGACGCAGGGCCGGCCATCGGGGGGGTGCGGCGGATGCTGTGCACCGGGGCCCCGCGATTGAGGGGACCCTAACATTTTCAAGAATGCACAAGAAAACTCGACAATATTCCTATCGTTGTCAGTATGACGAAAAGTACATTTTATCGTAAACATTATTATTGTAATCTCTGAATTTCGACAGTCTTCAAACTAATTCTCGGTGATGCGAATGTTTAGTTTTTGTTATTTGATTCGGGAAACTCCCGAGAATCCCCACCTAAATTCGACTTTTTTTTAAAAAAATCTCAATACCATATAGCCCGCGTTAAGAAATGAAAATAATACTGTGGCCGTCGGCCATATAAAATTATATGTATATTTGCATATAGTCGTAGTTTTAAGTAAATACGACTCTGTTCTAATGTATCATATAAACAGAATCGTGCATCATTTAGCAC